TGACTAACGGTCAACTCGCCGTGTCACTGCCAAATCAGCACAAACCAACTTAAATTTTTTTATTTTTCCACCTATTATCATTTATCTTTTTTATTTTGAAAAAAATAGAAACAAAATTTAATGTTACTCTATATTCTAGTAAGGAACAGTGAATTATACTTGCACTTATATAATATAATAATAATTATTATTATTTATAATTGTTCATAATGCAAATTAAGAGCATTATGTAAGAATATACAAGTTTGGAGTTTGTTCAAACGCACTTTATATTTTTCTAAAAGAGAAATGACAATATATGAAATGACAAGAGAAATTATAGTAACTATATAATAGCTATATACTCTAACTAAACCGCCTAAATCAATAGTAATGCTCTGTTTGGATAGAGGCGTAAATGTTGGGGGCGGAAATCCCAGGGGTAAATGCCCTTCCAGATAAGTTTGCACCTGTTTGGGAAGTTTTTGAACAGTAGGGGGCGGATGAATAGAGGCGCAATTCTACTGTTCTAGTGTACCCCCAAATTGAGGCGGAAGTGGAGAGAGAAAAAGCTGAACGATTTCTACTTTTTTCCTGAAATTTTTTATTATCTCTTTCCTCCGTCAAATCTGCCCGTGAATTCGCCTCCGCTGGCGTGAGAAAGAAGCCCACACCGCCGCCGGTAACACCTAAAAAACAGAATCCATAACCCAGAATCAAGAAAAGTCGTCAATATATACCCAAAAATCATAGAATTAACCCAAAAGAAACATGCATGCCCAAAGCGTTACCTAATCTAGAATTCAGATCCCCTCTCTCCTTTCGTCGGCGGCTTCTGATCTCCCGCCCTCATCATCGTCGCTATTCCGATCTCCCCCGGAGAAAAATCGTCGGAGTTGTGGGAAGATCGACGGTAGCGGCCGGAGAGCTTGAGGGATTGGATTGGTGAGATATATTAGAGAGGAAGAGAGGGTGTCGGAGAAATCAGAGAAGGGAGATGGAAGGCTGAAAGACAGAGGAAGAAGATACGTTGCAGATTTGGTGTGGATTTGGTCGTCTAATTAGTTTTGTCAAAAAGGAAATTAGTGAGAGAGAGAAGGAATAATGGAATGGGGAGGAAAGGTTGAACACGGAGAGTGTATGAGATTAACGTTGGGGAAGATTAAAAAAATAATTACTTTTTGATTTTTGTATTAATTTATTAATAAAATATTATTAATTAAACAAACCCCACCTATTTGCACCCTCTTACTTTTTTTCTCAAACAATCATTTGCACCCCAATTTATACCCTTCTCAAATTTGTTCCCCCAACAATTTGCACCTCAATTTGCGCCCACTCGAATTTGCACCCACTTATTGCCAAACATAGCGTAACTATATAATAGTACATACTCGAACTAAAGTGGACCTCTGGTATTTCTGCAGGATACATTACTTTACTGCCCCTGAACGTGTACCTGAATTGCACATTCTGGATCTGGATGGTGGATGGAACCTTCAGTTTGATAAGACTCCAACTAGAGGTGGCAAATAAATTGGATTGGTGGATTGGTGGATTGGATTGGTGGATCCATGGATCAAATGGATTGGATCTAATGGATTGGTGGATTCATGGATTGGATCAAGTGGATTGGTGGATTATCCATGAATCCAAATGACATCCTCAACCAAGGACCAATATGTAAAATGTAAAAAGTTTAGGTACTAAAATGTCACAATGAAAAATTTTAGGTACCAAAACGTAATTTTCCAATGATAATTTTCGTATCAAAAATTAAATTTTAGGTACCAAAATGTAAAAAATAAAAATTATAGGTACTAAACCGTAATTTGCCAATGATCCATGGATCCAATCCATGAATCCACCAATCCAATTGGATTTGGATCAAATGGATTGGATTTAAATGGATTGGATTAGGTGGATATTTTTAATGAATTGATGGATTGGATTGGTGGATTGGATTGAAATTGCCACCTCTAACTCCAACAGTTGAAAGTTTCAATGAGAAGTGACAGCATACAGACAGCTCAGGTCCTTTCCGCAAGTGTTGGTATCCACCTGACCTGTCTTTCCAAAATGAAATCGCCGCCCGGTTTAATCACTGCATCTTTCCAAAAGTGGGAGGAAACCTTGCTTGATTATACGTCGTCAAATTCAAATATAGAGTCTCGTCTCATTCTACCTGTATGAACATCAAAGTTCCAGCAATGTTGAGGATAATCAAACTTGATGGTGGTGATACGTGATTTCCACCATGAGTGCTCCTCCTCGTTGAGGAATTGAGAGCCATTTTTAATTCTTCTTTATTAACCAAAATATACTAGTCTGAATTCTTTCTACAACACAAAACAACTCTACGGTACAAAATCATATCATTGATTATACAAATTAACGATATAGTATGAAAACCATGTTATAAAGTATACATATACAAACTATCAATCAGATGTACAAAATCAAAACTCACATGCTTACAAATTACTAAACTGGGGTTTTGGTATTCATCAAATCGGAATTTTAGAATAGAGATGAAGATGAAGATGAGAAGGCGACTTAAGTCAAAGTCGAGAAAGGATAGGGATAAAGAGGGTGAATGGAGAAGGTTGGTCAATTATAGTATTATGTTAGGGGTACAAATGACATTTTGTAACGGTTTGATTGAGGTTCAACATTGAATGATAAAATTTGGAAGGAAATTGTAGCGGAAGGATACATTTAGTATCATGACCATAGTAAGACTATAGGTATGACAAATGATTGACTTGTAAAAAAAAAAGGTATGACAAATGATCGTGTCAAGAACGAATAGTAAATACTTACTACCATACTAAAATTATTTTAGCATTTACCCACTCATATTCACACAAGAATTGGGTAGAAAATCAAACCATGATCACACCCAATTAGATTTTTGAGTATCCATGGGTATATATAAATAATATTTTCCCTTTATAACTCGACCGACATTTTAACAATTAGATGTTGACATTTCATTAGTAAAAAAGTATAACAATAAATATAACTAAACAAAGTAGTTAAAAAGAATAGAAATTGGTGTAAATGTTATATACTTATAGTAAATATCCAACAAGTTGAAAAAATAGTGATGATTTATAGACAAATTATACTTACAAATACATAATTTGACAATTTTGAGTTGGATAGTTAGCAAATCATGTCACCGTTATTCGCAATATTCGAATTCAAGTTGTACCTAAATCCATAGAAAATATTTTAGAGTTTTACTTTACCCTAATCGATTAAATCGGATCCGGATAGATATTCACATATAGAGTTTTACCCTAAAGCGAAATATAATATTGGAACACCTATGAGAAAAATTTTATTTAGTAAATACTCCGTTTAATACACGTATATGTACCCGTACGTAATTTATCCGTTTAAAACTTCCGTATCCGTATTATTTTTAAGTCATTTCATTTTTATCCGTTCATTTGATCGCTCATGTACTAAACACGTATAAAATCCGTATAACACGTTTTATATACGTATTTAATGAATTAAATTATTAACTTTACTATTATTTATATATTTTTAAGATAATTAATTTTATATATTTATGACTATTAACATACTATTAAATATAATATTAGCTTAGAGACGACGTAAAATACCCGTACGTATTTTCTATGTAACTTTCCTGTACCGTATTTTACTAACTATACTAGATTGGTAAATTTTGCTAATATCCATAATTCTTATTATTTATAAATTTATAATGAAAATTAAGAACGTGTAAGGAAGATGTAAGATATTCACACATTTTATTATACAAAAATATGAAGTAATAAAAAAAATTGCGCATGCATGATACCGTCTATGACAAAGTTGTGAATTTTCTAGCCACAACCTTTTGGTGCAAGTTTCATAAAAAATGAATTTTGTGTTTGAATTTATTAAGAGAGGTTGAGAATGCATCAATCTTGTATTTGAATGTCAATTTGTTAACAAAAAAAATCGTGAATGCATGATTCAATTTCTAAATGCAAAAACAGTGAACATCACGTTTAAAAAAGATTGAATAATTATCAAGTTGTCTATCAAAAAATTTCTTCAACTAAATAGACATTGAGCACAAAAATTCTACGAACCGAAACTCAAACTCTACCTCTTCTTCCCTCTCCATTTGAGTAATGCCAAATTTCATAAAAGTAAGCATGCATGTATTTTAGTTATTTGATTTAGTTGATTGTTTACTGAACTCAATTTGTGCCTAACTTCTTTTATTGTTGTTGTTTTCGTTTACAGAGATCTACAATAAAGTTGTCAAACCCAAAGATGGAAGAGGGACTAACAGGGAGCCTCCGGCATTGAATGTTATAAGCTCTCCTCCACGTTCAAGTCGTGTTTCTTCACAAGAGAATGTAGAAGAAGAGGAGAGGAGTGTTCGTGATAGAGTTTCAATGAGCACTACCTTCTTTACACAAAATGAAGACCTCGAATTTCTTATGAGGAGCGAAGGGAACCGAACCATAGACAATCTAGCCTTCTTTCGCTACTTTGAAGACGATAATCCCCACCCTACTACCTTCTCCCCTTCTTCTTCATCAAACAATAGAGTCTTTACCTCTTTCCCTTCTCCACCGAGCAATAATATCCCTCATCACTTTCATCACTACCAACCACACACCTCTTTCCCGTTTTCTCAACCGAGCTACAATACTCCTCACAACTTTCGACCCTACCACCCACACACCTCTTTCCCGTTTTTTCAACCGAGCTACAATATACATCACCACCCAAACACCTCTTTCCTGTTTTCTCAACCGAGCTACAATGTTCCTCACCACTTTCAACCCTACCACTCACACACCTCTTTCCCGTTTTTCGAACCAAGCTACAATATCCCTCACCACCCGCTTGCCTCTTCCCCATCTTTTCCCTCGAGCAACGACAACCTTCATTTTTTCCAATATCACACCGACGGTCCATCTACCTCCATCCCTTCTTCTGAACTGAACAATAACGAGGTCTTCACTGATGAGAGTGAGGAGGAGGAGGATGTTGACGATGATGGAGTTGCTGATGACAAAGTTCGCTTCAGTGTCAAGGACGAGGAAGTTTATCGGGTTTTGGAGATCCTCACCAAAGAAACAAGTTGTCCTAGAAAAACAGCTAAAACAACATGGAAATGGGTCGGGCTACGCTATATGATCGACGACGATTTTATCATGGAGTTTAGCAAGTTGAAACCCAAATTCAAGGATGCCTATGTGGAATCGATCATAAGGTACAACATTCTGATTGTACCATTTTGGGATGTAGTCACAAATAAGATGAAAAGGCCCTTTAAAAGAGTCAAGTTGGTGAAGAGGAAACTACTACGACGTCAACCACTCGAAGTTGGAGGGTATGTGTCAATTCTTTAGCTTCTCATGCATATTGATATTATTGCTCTATAATTGAACTTCAAACTTTCTACTTTTCGTCTATCTTAAAGTTTTCATCTTTAAAGCATGCATGTCTTGAAAGTCATGGAATTGGCTTCCTAAAATTGCAGCACAAGTAATTTTAACTTATTCCATCATTAATTTGAAATAATTTGGTTACTACATTTTCTCTAGGTACTTCTTGGATACGGATTCCTCCATAAGAAATGGCTACATATACGTAGGACTAGTGTTGAGGAACCATATTGGAAGAGTGTTGTGGACTCACACGGTAATCGAACACAACCCAACTAGGGATATGATAATCCATCCACAAGTGGCAGAGCAAAATGGGATCTTCCTTGCATGCAGGGCATTGAAAGAAGAGAAGCCAAATTTGGTTAAAAATATAAGTGAGCTTAGAATTTACAATGATTCGGATACAATGGAATCTACGGATGATCACGAAGAATGGGCAAATAAGTAAATTTATCTAGCTGTCATTTTAGTTTAATGTGATTGCCTTCCTCACTCTTAGATCATAATTCAAAATTTACTAATTGTTTGTAGGGTCAGAAATGCTTTGGAGAATTGGGAAATAGAAGTGGCATTTCGCTACGCACCTAGAAAAGCGATGGCATTGGCAAATGCATTAAACCGAAGGGAGCTTGCGGATATTCTAAACAAGAGGCATCCTACAATCAACGATATGTATCCCGACCTCCTCAAATATGTGGAAGATTTGGGCATCATGTATATTGAGGAGGACGATATACAAGGGGAGGCAAAAGACTACAATCGATATGAAAATGAACCTCATAGATATTATGATGTTCAAAACAGAAAAGATGCAAGCAAAGATGATAAGTGTGAGGAGGACACTTATAAGAAAAAACAAAAATAGGTACGAAACTCACTCCATTTTTTAAAAATTTATTTCATAAACTGTCATCTAATGGTCCAACAACGACTTATATGAAAATCACAATATTTCAGCACTACCTGATGGGAGTAAGCGGTCAAAGCAGGCATGGAGCTTATTTTTCCCCTATTTTAATTAGTTACTTCTTCACAAAAACAAAAAGACAAAAAAACTGAAAGACAAAAAAAAAAAAACCAAGATCTATTTGCCTATTTTTCGCTTTCATAATTTAATGGGCTCTTTCTAGAAAAAATCGTTGTTGATCGAGGTAGTGAAGTAAGAAAACTCAACTATCAAGAAGAAGACCCAAAAGAAAAAGGTAAGTAAACCCTAGAATCCCTCCTCTCAAAATTGATTGTGAAACGAGATTACCGCAACCTTTGGAGGAATGCTGGTTGGGTTTCCTCTGAGTTGTTATGGCTTTTTATGTAATCAATTGAAAGTTCGTGTCTTGCTTTTTGACTGTTGGGTTTTCTTTGGATGCAGTACTCCTTTCCAAGTAGTCAATACTATCCTTTCCAGCTCCAAGTCTTACTACCCTGGTCAGACAATTCCGCAGCAACAACAACCTGTTTTAGCTTCTTTTCTATGGATTTATGTTCAGGATGTTTGCATTGGTCCACTTTGATTACTGAATTATGGCCAGAGAGAAAGATGCAGCTCTTTTTAGAAACTTTGCTGGTTCAGAAGATTCAATGAGTTATCCAGTTGATGTGGGTGCACGTGAGCCTTCAGGGGTATAGATGGGGCTCTGTCTATGAGGAAAGTTGTGGTCTATAGAGTGAATTCCTCTATGTATGTCCTTAGTTTTTCTTGTATTAGGTTGTTCCCTGTAGCTGGTAGTGAAGTCTCATTGGGCTGCCATTAGCTTTTGAGATGTGTTGTTGTGTTTTAGAAGGTCACTGAAAGTTAGTGTTGAAGTTGTAGCCCTGGTCTGAATGAACTACATTGCTACCGTGATAGGGATTGTGGGATTCCACCCACTCTTCTTTTGATGAAATACAATCTCTTATCTAGTTTTTATTTCTGTCTCTTCTTGTTCACAGAGTTCATATTCATTAGCTGGAACAACACCATGTACCGAGGGAAAAATTCTTACCCTTAGCTATATTGGTTCCTTTTGACATCTCAGTTTGATAATTAAGTGCTTTTAACCATAAGTTGTTGCTTGTTTTCCTTCGAGGAAACGGAATTCTCTAGATCACCTTTGCTTATAAAGACATTGTCGGTTCTGTTTTGTGTTGAATTCAGCATCCTATACTTGAGAGATGTATAGGTGATCTAGAGAATTCAGCATCCTATACCTTTGCTTATAAAGACATTGTCGGTTCTGTTTTGCGTATTGACTGCACAAGGTAATAAGCAGAAAAGGAAAAGAATGGAGGCTGAATCAGATATCACTAGGGTTTGGTCTACTGCATTGCTTGTCCCTTTGAAAATTATCACATAATCCCTTTGCATTAGCAATGAGTCCATGTTTAGCAGCATGTACATCAAGGTAGACAACTGCAGCTCCCTTGAGCTCTTCCGTCAGCTTTGCAACTCTATCCTTCAACGGCCTGTTGAACTCAACTGACATCTCATTATGAGCCTTGACTCGATCAAGCTTCATGAGATGACCCAGTGGCGGAGGATTTGAGAATTGGAACAAGTTCGCAGGCAAGGAGCTAGTAAGGAGAGAAATTAACGAGGGGAGCATCTCGGAACAGGTAAAATTCCAGTTTGTAATCAAGCAAAATCTATAGGCTAGTCAAGCTAGTGAACATGATACAACTTGCAAAGAACTGGCCTTTCCTTTTCTCATCAGCACACAAGAACATTTCAGCTTTACCGTATGGGCAGAGTTGATACTGCACAGAACATAATTCTGCCTTCACATCTTCTTCTTTCTCTATGCTGAAGCTCATATATGACGAATACCAAAACTCGATGTCTTCTGTAATTTGTTAAGTGATTTGTATACTTTTTTATGTGGTTGTATACCTGATAACTTGAAACGATTTGTATACTTCTATAATATGCGTTGTGGATTTTCTAATTTGATTTATGGTTGTCTAGTTGTTTTAAAAACAAGCTTTAACATATTTTAAAATAATAATAAAAATAGGTAGACAATGCTAATGAAGTGTGTGTTCTACTTGTACAATGATTTTAATACTATCCTTAACCCGCTTTCAAATGTGTGTGTTCTTTGTTCAAAATAACACGTAAATCTCCCTCTCTCTCTCTCTCTCCCCTGTTTCTCTCCTTGCTAACTGCTCCAACGTAACTGAACTTCCCCTGTTCCCGTTCCTAAAAACTAGTACTAAAACCTCCCCCTGTTTTGTTTCTCATACAGCAGCCGCAGATCAATATCCCAATTCCATGGAAGAAGACCATCAAGAGTCGAAACACGTGTGCAAATACTGCGGCAAGCGCTGCCGCAGTGGGAAATCGCTGGGAGGTCACTTGAGGTCTCATATGCGTCTGTTTCTGGAAGAGTCGTCTCAACCTGATGCCAAGCGGAGATTGAGAAGGAAGCTATTTCCCCTTAGCAACAAAAGTTACTTCAAACTTTGCTCTGTTCTGTTTTTTTAATGTGGTGTTGTGAATGATTCGTTCATACCGAAGATGGCAGAGTCCTTTCCTCTGCCTTTTATTTGCTTGATCTCATTAACCCACCAACCATTGTGTGTGCGTTTTTTGTTTTTGGGTCAGAGTTGAAGAGGGAGGAGGAGGATGTGGAAGCTTTTGTAGCGTCTTTGGACCGTAATCATGAAACATGCCCTTCGCGGATAGTGTCCAAATTGATACGGGAACGAGCAATTGGGTGCCTCTCCGCACTTCTCGAACGCAAAATTCCTCACAATCGCTTGGATCTGTTTGATGACAGCCGCGAACCCTTCATATTTGATGCCGCTGAGAGGGGGTTCTATGGAGCAGTCGAGTTGTTTTTGCGTCACGGGGTTCCTCCTAGTGCTAGGTTACCAGCAGCATGGTTTCGTCTACGAGAGCTGCTTCCCATCGATTACGCACTATATCCCAGCTGCGACGACCAGTGGGATCTGGAAACCGAGGAGAATGGTTATTATCGGCAAAGGCTCTGCACTTTGATGCTCTGGCTTCCCAAATGGATCAGTAAATATTTCGACTGGTGGCGCACGGTCAAGCTGCTGGCTCAGGCCACCGAACAGGGGATTCTGGAGATGAGGATTTTTCCGGTATGCAAGAAACGGCCAAGCGGCCAAGCTGCTCTGGCTCCTGCTTGCCGTCCCCGACCGAGTTCTCTCCCCAACATTCTTCAGGGGCACGTTTCTCCAGCAGCGGTTTGGAACCGCCTCCTTGTCCCTCCGCGATTTCTGATTGCTCAGCTTGCTTTTGTCACTGGAGTTGGCCTCACCGTCGAACCCAATCGTCGTCCCCATCCTGACGGGATCCGCGGCGACGTGCTGTACAAGAAATCGAGCCTCACTTGTTCCCTGCGATTGCTTGAAGTCTTCCGCAGGGCTGGGCCTCAATTGTGTCGCTTAATGGAAATGTTAGAGAAGGAAAAGCAGAGAAGAAAAGAGCAAGGGGAAACGTATCCTTATCCGGATTACACAATTGCTCAACAGTTCAGGACTGTGCTCAAGGAAGCTGGCTTCCCTGTGGCTTCTCTCCGTTGGTACTTTACTTACTTGCCTGTTAACTTTGTTTTTGTAGTATGCATCTATGTGTCTAAATGTTTGCCTTTTGTTTGTTGACAGCCCGGTCAGAACTGCTCACCCAGAGTCACAAGGAGGAGACTGACTACGGCTGGTAACTAACCCACTAAGTAACATCTATGGCTTCTCTTGTTGCTGTTCTGTGTACATTTACTTAATACGAAAACTTAACCGGCTTGCTCCGGGGTTCTGTAGGCTTCCCCCAGAGAGACGACTACCCTGAATTGGAGTTCTTGATTCGACCACCACATGTCCGCAGAAGTGAAATTCTTGATTCAGACTTTAACAAAGCCATCGAGAAGTTGTGGTACACAACCTTCACTCATTATTTCGATTGTGAAATAGAAATTGTTGTTTAACTTGCATGCACAAATGTGTAGTGAGTCAACTGATTCTTTGCTATTCTTCTGCAGCCAGCATCCTCACCTGAAGGAATGGACTTCCCAAATGTCCATTTTCAAGTTGCTTTTCATATTCTGCCTCCCTGACGTGGTAGAAAACATGCAATCTGTGTTACGATTCGAGCTCAAGGATATTAACCCTTCGAATATAATCCAACCTGCGTATCTTGCTGACTTATGCTTTATTTACGTCGTCGAGGGGCGAATCGTTGAATTCACATCTGCTCTAGTGGCTACTCAAGTTCATCTTCAGTTGGAGTATCCACTATGTCCTAAAATGTTTTATGATGATGGTGATTATAGTTACAAGTCTGCCACCCGCACCGTATATGAATCATTGTTGCATGCCATGACGAGAGTGATTGATGAAGAAATTAGTTTAATTGGGAAACCGAAGGACAATGACTATGTTCAAGTTTGCAAGGAGAAAAAGTCATTGATATCTTCTGCATTTCTACTAACAAAGATAGTCGAAAAATCTGCAAAAGATATTCATTGTTATCTTCACTCATCAAGATATAAGGTGCGAGGTTTCGTGTCTAAATTTTCGTTTTGATAAACATAAAATATGGTCAGTTAGTTGGTCACGCTCACCTTGAATGTATTGTTCTGTTTCCGCAGGAACTTGGTGATTTGAAGCTCATAGTTAAAAGATGTTGCTGCCTTACTTAGAAAACGCATGGGCTTTGTGTTACGATCTCGGCATACCTGTGTGAACGACCTGAAATGGTATGTATTTATTGTTCTTTTTCTTGTTGATACACGACATCAGGTTTGAAAGCAATTGCATTAGCATGCAATGTGTTACTTACAATCCAATCCATATTATATAGCTAGACAATATCATTTTCCTTTTTTCGATGTTGCTAACTGTATATTTTTGGGTGTTGTCATAGTTTCTCAAACAAATCAGGTATCGGAGAATCCAATTTAGAAGGAAAATTATCATCCTTTGGACCACCTTTCGAAGAGAGTAAAGCCGTCGACGGTTTCTAAAGAACAATTGAAGGATCAACATTCCTTGCTTATCCATTAGCAAACTTTCAGCTCGCTCTTATCACTCATACCAAATTTCAAGGTTTGAAGGATCTAAGGCCTCATTACCGTCGAGAAACCGGGTAAATTTTGTTGTGAAAAAGCTGGAGGCAACAAAACGATTGGACACTATGTCGAGGAAGAGTTGGAGGTTCTTGGCAGTGATCACGAGAGTAATGACCTGGTTCTAAATTCTGCCCTCTTTGAGCTCTTACATCACAGCCTATGACATGCTTGGGTGATTCGAGTTGGTGGGTCAGTCAAAGAGCCATTCTGGGTTTGGTCAGCAACCCATTTGCTTGCAGCTTCAGTGTAATGCACTCCATCCCAACTAGCATAAACAGAAGGGTCTTTACAGGAGCCACCATAGATTTCACTTCCATTGACTTTCCCTTTGTTTCCGCACCATATGTGGTCATACTTCACATGGTAACCACAGCAAACCTTCAGTGGATCAGCAAACCCTGCAAGAAAAAATTCCCCAGAGTGAATGAAGAGAATGAACATTCATTTTTGGACTAATGAAATTAGCAAGCACCTAGTATGGTTTTTGGCAAATAAGTTTCCATATGTTGTTTATCCCTTCAATAATTCTTCTAAATCCTTTACTAATGTGGACAACTCATGCTTACTAGCTCAAAAGCTGACTTTTCTATACCTAATCTCTTTGCATTGGCAATGAGTCCATGTTTAGCAGCATGAACATCAACATAGACAACTGCAGCTTCCTTGAGCTCTTCCCTCAGCTTTGTAACTCTATCCTTCAACTGCCTATTGAACTCAACTGACATCTCATTCTGAGCCTTGACGCAGCCAAGCTCATCAAGGTAACCCTGTGGGGGAGGATTCGAGACGTAGAACAAGTTCACAGGCAAGCAGCCAAACGGACCCGTGTTGTGGATCCAGAATGATCTTCCTCCTTGCTCATACAAGTGCTGAAAGTAAGGAAAAATCAAAGCAGCAATGGAAACATGAATGTCCTTTCGTGTCTAACTTTCCAACTTGTCAAAAGCTTAGGTTGGTGGTATCTAACTCATTTACTTACTTTGACTGCTGCAGCCAACTGGTTAACAATGTCGGGCAGTGCTGCTTTGAGTTGGTCAGGACCCAACCTGAAACCAACAGACAGATCATTCTGGCCAATATCGAAAGTGTAGAGTGCCTTTGAGAATTCCTCTGGTCTTGGAAGCTTGTCTGCCTCCGGAGTACCCTTCACTGCAAATAAAAGAGCCTACCAAACTTGTAAGTGCAAGTGTAACAGAACAAGAAAAGGAAAGAGTTCAAATTTCGGTAGACAGACGTTTCAAACAGTAAAGATTGGAGCTTTAATTTTCCAGGTGCGAGAGCAAAGCTTACCCTGATTGTAGAGATCTGCAGTTCTAGCTTTGAACTGATCAAACTGCACAATCTGCATATCAAGAGCAAAAGGGCTAATCCCATACTGGAAAATGGTCTCATTCTGCCTCCTGATTGTCGAGCCACCAGTAGCAAAATTGGCTCCATGCCTGTAGTTGGCCCCAATTGAGTTTAAGTACGCGCTCAAATACGGCAATTTTAGCCTCTCAGCTGCAACAACAAACACGAAAACAGAGTAAGAGAAAGTAAAGCAAAAAGAAACCAACTTTTTCCTTCTTCTTCCTCGATACGTATACCTCCACTAGCATATTACCTATGAAATCCACAGTAAGGCGGCCATCGGAGTCCCGACCAGCTGGCTTGTGGAAGAAATGCTCGCCGTATGGAGCTGAGATTGGGACGAACGCAGCAGATATCCCTCCAGTGTCTGAATTCGAGTCCCCAAAGTTGTAAATGGCTGGGAATGCGCAGGGGGCCGCCAAACCAACACTTACTGGGCTCAAAGCGCAAAACAACAGAAACCCAAAAACCAAATCCCTCCCGCAAAGCAAACCCATTTTTGCCGAGATCTCCTATGAACAAAGTTCTCAACTTATTCTGTTTCCCCTTTGGATATTTATACAGAGCGGGGGATGGTGGAGAAGAGAACCACTTTTTTTTTTGTAGAAAGAGAACCCACCTTTGGCCTTTGGGGAAAAGGGTAAAGGACAAATGATGGAGAGAGTCCCCATTTTGCATTTGGCATGTAATTTGTTTCATATGCCAATTAGTGTCAGAATCAAGAATGCTAAACAGACTGGAGTGGAGATTAGGAATTACCAATTTCAGCAAGTGATGTAACTCGATCACGAGGCTGGAATCTGGATAGCCGTTCGATGATGACGATGTGTGCGTGGGGTAGTGTTATATGTGCAACTACCGACAAATATTGAGGTCAATAAATGCGGCATAACGAGCGAAAAGATTTCACAGCTTCTCGATTTAGTACCTGCAGATGGCAGAGAGAACATGGGAGCTGCAGCTGCCGCTGCCGCATCCTTCCCTTGCTTCGTCCACTAGCAAACTTTCAGCTCACTATTATCAGTGCTATCACTCATTCCCGATTTCAAGGCACGAAGGAAGAATACAGGCCTCATCCTTACCGTGGGAGGCAGGATAAACTCGGTTGTGAAAACGTGGTGGCTGGAAAAACATGCAGACGGTACGAGGAAGATTCTGAGGTTCTTGGCAACGATAAAGAAAGTAATGATGTGGTTCTAAGTTCCAAGGGCAGATAAATTATAATTTTTAGTCGTCTCAATCGCATTTATTATGGACGACATAACTAGTTTATATCCATGAATGCCTCTTGAGACTTGGCCTGGACATATACGTCTTACCATAGAACTCAAATTGACGGGATATAAAGCGAGTTTGAATAAAATCAATTGAGACTACAGAGAACCTCTGAATTCACATTACTAATTGATTTCTAGATAATTCACAACAGATTACAAGGAATTTAGCTTGACGTGTTCTTAGGAAGTTTTGGATTGAGGAGCGATAGGGGAGTAGTCCAAAACCGGTTTTAACTTCTACAACAAGATAAGAACATTACTTATATCATTTAAGATTATACACAGCTATGGACAATGGGGTAGTTTTTTTCATTGGCGATGGCCATCTGGTAAGGGTACAACCTTATGGAAAGGCACTGTCCTTTGAGGCAATGCTCCATCTTCTTCGTCGTCATCAAACTCCAGCAGATAACTGCACAATTGTAAGAACAAAACATTTAGAAAAGAACATGCTCAGATTAGATTGGCGTCCAAGATCAGAAACTGAGGGTAGTACTTACTCGTCGGACTTCCTCTGGAGACATGTAAAGAGCAGACCATGCAAAGAGGCAATTCATCAGTCAATGATTCAAAAGTAATCTCTAACTGTGGTACTGAAAATTGAGAAGGAAAAGAGCCAACCTTTCTGGGAGGATTTGCAACGGTTGCCTTGTAGAGTGCTGTTGTTCCTGGATATACCGCCAGGACGTGTCTCCCCGGAGGGAAATCGGGAGCACTTGTTGGATCGTTTCTCTTCGGGAAAGGGATGATGCATGACATCGGTAGCCTGTACTTCCTGGAAATCAACACAATGGCAAGATGAACTTTAGCATGCAGTATAAATGGCCCAGGAACGAAATAGGTAGAAGGAAGATGACATCAGTAGAGCAAACCCTACCCTTGTCCACCACCACCATCTTCATCATCACCCGGTTCTTCATCAAATACCTCAAATCTGCAAATTATACACACATCAGCTTATGATAGATAAACAGCTGGATTTTGCTTCAGAATTTATCTTCTTCAATTAGCATTTAAAGGAGGGTATGAAAGGCTACCAAAAATGGAAACTGTTCTGTAGTGAAGGGACTCACTCTCTTTTCTCTCTATCAAAATGCATGACCTTTACAACAAACCATTCATCCTTTTCGGCATCATCGCCTGTAACCCTGGCCGCTACCTGAAAAAAGTATATAATTACCTTTGAAGTGAAAAAACAGGAAATACAGCTGCAGTAATGAATGAGAAAGCCATATTTGCTAAGGAAACAACAAATCAGACAAAGCGCAGTAATACCTGTTCACCAATCAAGCTGGCACAAGAATCGAGTTGACTTCTCATAGAAGGTGAAAGCCTAGGTATATCTGGGTCGGCCTTCATTCTTTTCCTTTTCTGCTCATTGCCTTCTGCAGTCAATTTAGACATCTCGTAAGTACAAATCTATCAATCACAAACCAGCAATGTCACTAGAGATGTTACTAGAATCGAAGGCACAAATCTATCAATCGCTCATGGCTGATCCAAAAACGTTACACTGCTTCAGTAACTTACAAAGGAATATCTACAATGTTACTCAGTCGAAACAAATGGATTACAGCTCTGCATGAAAGCTTGAAGTATGGTGACGGCCAAAGTAGGCAGTTACTAGCTTACTATGATCTTATCATACCAACCAAGAGATTCATAACTGTCCAATATGAACAATTCATCACGAGTTCAGCACATACCAATTCGCCTTCTTTGCTGTCCTGGAGGACCATGCGGCAGGAGGGCATCAAGCTGAGTCAACAAGGCATTAGAAACACTGCAATGAAAGTTAGATGACTGAATTAGTTGATCTGGAAGAACATAAGAACCAAGGAAATGACAGCACTACAAGAACTGAAGAATCGTGTGAGTAATTATGCTAGGGCCATTACTTTATTTCATTCTCCGATAGATCCCTGGCCTGCATATATAGCAATTTTAGCTTCTGCAACGAGTTGTCACCAGGCTTTTCAACCACCTCTGGAGCTGCATCATGCAAATAATGAGAGAGTTAATAAATCCTGTTGAAAGGAACATATGAGGACTGCCAAATGAAGAATTTCAGTAAGAACATACAAAATTGAATTAATCCAAACTACATTTTGATTGATATCTACAGACAAGGGTAGTTTACTCATGCATAACCAAAAGGCAAGTAAATATCTAACACCAAAGGGTTCAGGAGATCACTGAACAAAATGTGCAACGATAGTTGCTGTTCTCCAGGAAACAACATCCTGGTGATATAGAAGCGAACTTTAGTACAAGATCAAGCGCAGTGCAGGAAATTCCTCTGTGCTTCCAAGCTAATAAGTCCCCGATTATGTAAGAGTTGCCCAAAACATATCTACAAGTCAGATCCCAGTATCTCTAGTATCTATTTCAGTTGGCTTTACAAATTAATGTTGTACATGACTTAAATAGTTAGGGCTTTTGATCTCATCGAGGGCACTTAACAAACGGTGGAAACCACATCTTATGGGTTAAAACAGTTTATCATCAAGTTGAGATGTGAAATGGACCAAGTAAAGGATGGAGCTACATTGCATGCTTATAGAAGAAAATTTACAGTAACAGGATAGACATGCAACCATACAAGACCCATAGCACAAAGTATATATCAGTAAGGTAGGCTACTAACCACGATTAGCAGAGTTAATCGCATTAAATGTAGAAATGCAAGCACAGTTGAGCAAGGAAGCATATCAGAATGCATAAATAGAATCCCAATCACTGCTTTCCGCCCTAAGCAATCCATACGCGGAAGCCCCCAAACCTAACTAAGTTTGAGAACATAACTGATGCCAAACAAATCACACTTGGATCAGTTCTAAAAAGCAGATTCCACCTCGAAGAAACTAACCAACAACACATCCTCGGATACCATGAGCTTAGTAATTTGTTCATAGAGTAACCTGCTTAAGCTCTTATCCTTCTCAAGGATCACATTAAATATGTAGTTGTTAAACAAATTCTTATTAACAAATTCTTAATAATCATACAGTCGACATTACATTCTTGGTCCAGCTGGATAACGATCCTACATTCAAACTAAACCCAAGCAAGCCAAACCTACTATGAACTCTCAGAACTGGGAAAACCCAGTAGTCTAAAGACACAAACTTTCAGTTAATACTCCACAAACCCATGACAACCCAGTACCCAAAAATTGGAGTTCTCGTAGACATAACGGAAACCCAACATTCAAACTAAACCATTCCGCTCATTGAGGAGGAGGGAAATTAACGATACAAATGATGGGGTTTTGGAGGGTTTGCTTACTTGCTTGAAGCTTCTTGTGCATCTTGTTGATCTCCATAAGAACATCCTCTTGATCTTTCCGCAGCCGATCGAGTTCCCTCGAATTGTCCATGATTCCGGAGATTTCCGCTGAGGACATTTCCCGGCGGGGGTGCAGTTCAGGGAAGCGGAAAGGGAATGATTTTGGTTGGGAAGAGGAGATGATTGCACGATTGACTGTTGATTGACGATGCTGACGAACTGAAAATTTGATTAACTGCCGCTTTGCTTTGCCTGGACGATTTTCGAGCAAATGTTTCTCAGTCCGTGGTCTTCGATCAACTCCCTTCTGACATTTTTCTTTTCAATTATTAAGTGCAATTTTCTATATTATTGTCGGAGTAATAAATAGTAGTTCCAGGAAAAAAGAAAGAGGAATTTCAATTTTTGCGCTCCTTTCCACTTACAGTTATTAATTTTTCCCACCTCTTAATTATTATTGTTATATTCCATAATTGCTCAAAATCATTACATTTATTAATGATTTTTTTAGATTCAACGAAAAAAAAACTATTTCCTAAGATAAATTCGGTAAAATTTTATTATAATTGTTATTCAGAGAGAATATAATAGCTCATTTGATGGCTAGGAATATTTTTTTAAACATATTTTTGGATTTTAATTTTACTATGTCGAAAGAAAGAGTATACTTTATAAACTTTGTAAGTTTTATGAAAAAGTGAGTTATTTAAATTGAAAAGTAGAATTTAATTAGTCAAAAATATCATCGTAAATTATTGTTCCAAATCAATCTTGAGAATTTGGGATAAATTAATAATTTGTTATTTCAATGAATCTATTGTGTGATTTCAAATATTAAGTTTTCATTGAAAGCACTTCAAATTATTTTCTTAAGGAAATATTAATTCAAATGTCCTGTATCGAAAATATAATGTAAAGAATCATCAATATATTAGTTAACATGACCCTTGTGTCATTTTATCTATCCTTATTTTATGAGGGTTGCTAATTGTCGCCCTAAGTTTGATAATCGCCCTAACTAGAATGACCTAAATGCCCTTATTAAAACACAATTGGAAAAATTAACCAGACGCTTAATTCCAACTGCCCGTCGCCAATATCCTGTCCGCTCGCCTTTCTGACCACCGCCAAAACCTCGCCTCTACGCTCTCCGACAAGGTATTATTTTAGGGGAAACTGCTGCGGTGGCGATGGAGTTTCATCCCTGTTAGTGGACTTCTGCCGGTGGCGGCGACGAAACTTGATCTTTGTAAACTGCTTAGTACTTGTTAGCATTAGAGTGGCGAGGTAATGGGCGGTGAAAATCGGAGCTTTTGGGGCAGGAAGTGAAAGAAATTGGCATCCATATCTCTGGGTGGGAAGAGAGAAATTTTCGTCCATGGTTATTCTAGCCCGGAAGAATGGAGGAATATGGATTTCAGAAGTTGATTGTTTTGTTGAATTTAATTTGATTAATGAAGGATAATTAAGTAATTTTATGTTTTAAATTAGGGCGAGAATATTAAAGATAGGGCGACGTTTAGCCATTCAGTTACATCATTGCCAGTTAAATGTTTAGTTAGTGAATGTTTTGTTTAAGTAGTATTCTTAGTAATGGGATCATTCTTCATTTCTTTGTTGTGGAAAATATTTTGGTATTTGTTAATAATTGTAAGTATGAATATTCAATACTGAGCTTCATTTATGTTAAGAGTTAAGATTATGTGATTGTACAAGTTCTCCTTGGGAGTTACCGCATTGACCTTATATTAGTTGTAAATTAAAAAACGAGTCAACCTATGATCGATTTTGATCATAATAATAAGTTGCATTAGAAAAATAATTCAAACATTATGCGATGATTTCTCACACATTTACACTTTAAGTTATCGAAAAGTGAAACTGGTATCAAATTCTTAGATCATGATCCATCCACTGTGATTGTTTGGTGCAACACTCATTATGAGAATCAAACAAAGTGGTGGATAATCAATTAGGGTTAAAGACACATTTGGTCACTGAGATTACAAAATCGGGACATGTTTAGTCACTAGAAAAAGTTAATATCAGATTTGATCACTACAATTACTAAAATCGGACACATTTAGTCACTTGCCGTTAGTCTCCGTCCAACTCCGTTAATGAAGTCCGTTAAGTGCTGATGTGGCAAACAGAATTGCCTAATCAGCCGTATATAACCCAACAAAAATGAAACCCGACCCACCACGTCATTATAACCCGCCACGTCATTAAAAACCAACCCAACCCATGACCCAACCCCACCCAACCCTTCTTCCTCCTTCCTCCCACCTCGGCACCTCCCACCTCTTTCTTTCCCCAAAACCACCGCCGTCGCCGCTCTCCTCCTTCCTCCTTCCTCCCACCTCCTCCCGCAAACCCCGGCTACATCAACTTCCAACCACCAATATTTCCCCAAAACTGTCAATTCAAGCTGATCTTACGAAGAAACGACTACTGTAACTAAATTCCCCTCCACAGAATGCATGTTCCAATTCTAGTAGAAGTTCGAATCCGGATTCAACTTACCACAGGGAGCGCATCAATGAAATTGCTGTAGATTGTGTCCAACGGACGAGTGTTGTAATCAGCCGGAGTACAGATCGCCGCCAGATTTATGACCTATACACCGCACCGGGGAACAATTCCACCACCTCATTAGCAGGGCAGCAAGAAAACAAACCGAAACGGAGAGAAAGGAAAACCTAAACGCATGCATTCCGAGAACAGAGCTTGAATATGAAACGAGAATCGAAAATGGCGGAAAGCGAAATTTACCAGATCTGACATCTTGATGAGGCCTTCGAGGCGGGAGTCGTGCTTGATGTTGATGCGGTGGAACTGAATCCGCTCGGCCAAGGACGCGTTCTCGCCCTCGAGGAGGTGCTTGATCTTGCCGCTGCCCCTGCCTACCACCGGTTCCCCGCCACGTCAATCTTTTGGGGATCGGAAACAAGAAACGTTTCTTCCCCCCCCCCCCCTCTATTCACCGTAACCACCACGAATCCCGGTCATCAGAAGCGCCCGAACCACCGCCGACCAACCTCAGCTCCAAAACCCGAACCCCATCGTCGGCGGCGAGAGCTTCGCGGGGACGAAACAAGCTGTTGTCCCTGCAAAGCGGGCAGGTCCGGCCACCGCCGCCGCCGCGGGATTGGAACCATCGGTCCAAGCACGGCCGGTGGAATAGATGGCTGCATCTCAATTTGCTGACTTCTTCCCGTTGCTTCATGTTGACTAAGTCGTCATCATCTTCTTGTGGGCTTGCTTCGGATTTGCAGTAGTGGGTTGAGTTGGTTTTAATGACGTGGCGGGTCGGGTTTTATTTTTGTTGGATTATATCCGGCTGATTAGGCAATTCTGTTTGTCACATCAGCACTTAACGGACTCCATTGACGGAGTTGGATGGAGACTAATGGCGAGTGACTAAATGTGTCCGGTTTTAGTAATTGTAGTGACCAAATTTGATATTAACTTTTTCTAGTGACTAAACATGTTCCGATTTTGTAATCTCAGTGACCAAATGTGTCATTAACCCAATCAATTAAGTACAAAAAATAAAGTGAACTTTATTATTTTTTAAGAAGTCTAACATAAAATTGTTATCGTTTATTTACATAACAGTCTAATAAAGAATGATTGTCCGATGATCAGTTGCACAAGAGGATTTGTCTCGAACAATGATCGATGTAAAATATCATGCTAGTTGAGCCTTAGAATGCCTCTCAACTCGTTTAGAAAGTGAGGGTGCACATAACTATTGCTCCAACTAGATTCATCACGAGGCAACGATTACAATATTTACTAATGATCCACAAAATGAACTAACATTATATTTCTGCCATAATATTTACCGATTAAGAGTCGATAAACTGAATTTTGATATGTGAGAGTTAGACATCTATATTCTATATTGAGAGCAAAAAGTATAGAGCAAAATCAGGTGATTACTGATTAAATGTCTAGCTAGGAAAAGACTTTATATAACCTTATAAGATGTTGGATATTGACATATTCTTGGGGCATGATCTTATGTTTGATGATAATGATTCATTGATTTCACCATTCACCAACGAAACTAACCACCGAGCGAACAGACGTCAGTATTCCGGTGAGGCCGCTCCCACGTTGATCGCCTCCTCCGGCGCTACAGCAACCCAATAACAGTCCAGCAGACCCAAGCCACGTCATCCTTTTCCCCGGGCGTACCCACCTGAGCATCACACCCAAGCATTCCCTTTGCCGGGAAATCACCGGAAAGCTCCCCGGGGACGCTTGTCAATCAATCGAGTCGTACAGCAAAGTTAAAAAAATATATTAATAGAAAGTTTATGGAAAATATTATTAATCTTTTCAAATTCCGTGCTTCCTTTAGACGAAAATGGAAAATGCGACAAAATGGCGATGCCAATACTACTTCTTCTCTTCTCCTTTCCCTTTTCAGCAGGCGACCGATCGTAGTCTCGAAGCATCAGCGAAATTTTTTCCGGCTTCGTATTCTCGGAGAACAGGACGACCGCCGGCGGGTTGGCTGATTTTCTACTACCCGGTTTGGTTACCTAGAAAGAGAAGCCCTGATTCAATCAATCGTCCTCTCTCAAGGAAAGAAGGAAAGCTCCAAAGTTATTTACAGGTGCCGGCGACAACCATTTGTTCGTTTGTTTCTCATTGAGTCATTGTATTTTGGGTTGGTGAAATAAACCTTTTTTTTTTTTTGCTGATTTGGGTTGGTGGAATTTTGGACAAGGGTTCATCCAAACTGCATTTCCCGGTATTGGAGCGTAATGAAAATAGCGTTTCTTGAATATTTCGGAATTGGTTAACCATCTTGTTGCTGTTTTCTGCTTGTGGGTGGAAAGCGATCTGTGTAATTTTATTTCAGAGAAACAGAGTCTATGTCTTTTTTTGCCTTGGATTGGGCATCTCTGGGTATTGAACCGGCATTTTTGTCTGTATATCGTTGGTTTAGATGTAGAATTGAACTGAGTTTATGCTTAAATTGGTTTCTTGGAGTTGGAGATACCATGCAATGAAAGGAAGGGACTTTTTTTTCGTTTTCTTTTCATGGGGAGCTTCTGCTTGTTTCAAACTTGGTCATCTGAAGCACATCTATGAATTGTATGTCTTTACAGATTGAATTGCAGTTGATGACATTGTACAGCAGCTGGAACCCACTAGTCTGTGAAATTGGTATCGCTGCTCTTTGAATCAGAAGTGCAGTACTTATAATGCCAGTGCCCATTAGAAGGTGACTTAAGCTGCTTCTTTCATTTGGTTATGGCGGATATGGATCAAACTGTGAAGAATTACTTATCGTATGATGTGCTTTATTTCTCTTGTTCTCTGCGGTGGAAGTATCAGAAAACCTAGTGAAATGACGAAGCTTTTCATGACAACTCTCCTTGGCATCCTCTTTGGCTTCTTCTTGGGAATATCCTTGCCAACACTGTCCCTCTCAAAGGTTCATTGCCAATATTGTTTGGACGCTATTTTTTCTGATTAAGAGAACTTAGACTTATTTTTTGTTGGGTTTGGGATTTGCTAGTTGAATCTTCCAACCGGTTTGCTTCCTTCCTTTGACATCACTTACATGGAGGACAAGTTCTCTGGTCTTTCGCCACAAGCACTGCTCAATGCTTTGTCCTCTCTAAGGGGACATAGTATACATTCCTTGTTATTTCACCGATACAATGGAACCAAGGTATGTAGCTCTACCAGTAGTGCTTGTAATTTATCTCGAGGGTAAGCTGATGAAGTCGAGCTGTATGTTTTTTTAACATTAATGCAGATATGGGTCAATGAAAATCCTAGAGGTGCTGAGAGGTTACCTCCTGGTATAGTAACTTCTGAGTCAGACTTGTTCCTTCGACGATTGTGGGGTATGCCTGATGAGGTCTGTTATTTATGAGTTCAACCGAATAAGCATAATATCTAAGAAAATGTATTTAGCTGTTACAAAATGTGATGATGGCTTACCTAGGCTTGTGGTCCGCGTCAAGTTCTTTCATGTCTTCCATATGTTCTCCTTTGTTGATGGTGGTCACATTCGCAGGACTTGGCAGTCCAGCCGAAGTATCTTGTGACATTCACAGTTGGGTATGAACAGAGAAAGAATGTCGATGCAGCAGTTCAAAAGGTCAGTCTAATCTCAAGCATACTTTTTACTTCCACTTGGGTTGTCATTCTGATCACCAACTTGTATACATGTAAGCAGTTCTCTGAGAACTTCACCATCCTATTGTTTCACTATGACGGCCGGGTAACCGAGTGGGATGAATTTGAATGGTCAAAGCGAGCAATCCACGTGAGTGCTCCCAAGCAAACGAAGTGGTAAGCTAGCTCTTCTCTCATCTCATCTCACCTCATCTTCCTAATTTTGACTTTGTGGATCAAGCTTAATTTTTTCTCGTGGATCAAGCTTAATTTTTTCTTACTACTTACTAGTTAATTAAACTCTATCTTCTGAAGGTGGTTTGCCAAACGGTTTCTTCACCCGGATATTGTTGCAGCATATGATTATATTTTCATGTGGGATGAGGATCTTGGGGTGGACCATTTTGATGGAGAGGAGTGAGTGTGACACATTTAAGAATCCTTTTTTCTGATTGAGGATACGTAAGACTTGAATCTCAAGGGTAAGATTGTCCATATTTCCAGGTACATTAGACTGGTGAGGAAATATGGGTTGGATATATCTCAGCCTGCTTTAGATCCTGAAAGAGGGACCACCTGGGCAATGACGAAGAAAAGATATGACACTGAAGTTCACAAGTAAGCAGGGCCCAGAAAAAAGAAAGGAATATGCTTTCTCTTATGTGGTCAAATTTAAAGCTTCTTTAGTTCTCTTGTCAACCTTCTTGCATCCCTGTAGGCATACTGATGAGAAACCCGGTTGGTGCAAGGAACCATATTGGCCGCCATGTGCAGCGTAAGTAAAGCAAACAACATTCACCCTGGTTGATGTGTTATCCTGGGATTGCATTAATTCCGAGTGCTTAATGCACAGATTTGTGGAGATTATGGCTCCTGTATTTTCCCGAGAGGCATGGCGATGTGTTTGGCATATGATTCAGGTGCGTCATTACGACCATTCCACAGCTGCTTATCATATGATATATGAGTTGGATCTTTTCTAAAGTTCTATACCAATTCTTTGCAGAATGACTTGGTTCATGGATGGGGTCTTGACTTTACCATGAGGAAATGTATTGAGGTCTGTAATGTGGTGATTTCTTTTGAACCTTTCTTTTCTCCACCTCTTCCGGCTGTAATATAGATAGCCATTTGAATCACAGCCTGCTCATGAGAAGATCGGAGTGGTAGATGCTCAATGGATAGTTCATCTAGGCATTCCATCCCTCGGGAACCAGGTAAAATCCCAAAGATACCCTTATCATTTGTGAAGGGAATGTAATTGGTTATTTCTCCCCCTTTTCTTCACTTTGCAGGGAACATCAGAGAAAGGGAGAGCGCCATGGGAAGGGGTAAGAAATGACTCACTCTCCCACCATATTGTCAGGCTCCTTATTGCATATGGATCTGAAGTGTATGAAGAAACATGTTTTTGAGCTGACTTTTCGGTATCCTTATCCCAGGTGAGGAAGAGGTGTCAAACCGAATGGAGGATGTTTTATGAACGCTTTGCACAAGCGCAGAAAGCCTATTACTGGATGCTGAGATTTCGTCGAAGAAGTAATAATGTCACGAATAGCTAGAAGGATCTGGAATGATCATTGATTCCCACCCTTACTGTAAATTCCACTTCCAGAGCTCCTACAAAATGACCACAATCAATCAGAAGTAGCATTTTAGGTTTTCTGTCTTTTTTATTTTCATTAAGTGTGTTATTGAGGTGAACTTTACTCGAGCTGTAGCTCACAGGTGATTCACCATTTAGACTGCTCACATCATTTTTGGCCAATCATCTTGTACTTCTTGACACAGTTCTAAAAAAAGGCTTAAAAGTGCTTACGTCTGCATCTTTTTCATCGAGAAGAATTATGGAATCGGTTTTTTCTCCCCATTGCTGTTCAGTATGTTTCTTTAGTCCAGGTTCAACGGTCAATAGTGCGTCCAATGGCCCAATAGTTTACTTCAATACCATGCTGCAGGTAACGGCGAAAGTTGAACAGACAATCCAAGTTGAGCAGACAATACTCCGATTCCTAATGCTAATGGCATTGTGCAGACAATTCATGAAATGGGAAATGTATACATATTGCAAATTATGCATACAAAATGGACCTATAAATTAAAAAGAGGAAAGAAAATGGTACACAATTTCAGCTACAATATACAGATTACAGATCACAAAAATTATCACTCTCATTCTGGCTGCCTGTGTACTTGGAAAACTTATTCAAGTATAAGAATTCGGAGGATAGTTTGGCAGGTGGCAGTCTTCATGATGTTAATGACTGAGGGCCAGAAGTACTCAAAGGTGCAGTTAGAAATAGGATTTGACGATTGCATCCTCCAGCTCCTTAAATTCCCATGCATCATCTGCTGCATATTCTCCTGTAATCCAAGCAAAGCATAATTACAGGTTGACCTCTCGAAAACTGGTAGAATGCTTCCCCAAAACCATTTTACAAAAGGATATTCTTCTTACCTATTGAATCTCTTCGAAGAGCAGTTAAGTGAGCACAACTGCGAGTTGAAAACCAACAATTTCGTCAGCCAAACCATGGTAAGCAAGAATTATTGACCGCATCAAGAGAAATGAGGAAGTTGCATACCTGCCAAGAGCCTTCCCTAAGTCTGCACATAATGATCGAATGTATGTCCCTTTCGAGCACGTCACCCTGAAAATCAGATTTTGTCTGCAAGAGCCAGACATCACTCGCTCAGTTCAGACTCAAGCCCTAGAAGAATTGCATGGAGAACAGTAATAATACCAGCTGAGGTATTGATTTATTGAAATTGTGAACTTGGCAAAATGAATTGAAGTTAAGATAGCATTGATATTCATTTAAGGTTCCAAGTAAGATTTCAGAAACCTGTCCTCTAGGCTCCTTTCAATGTCAAACTGGAAGATTGAGATTCTTCTTGGTGCAAGCTCGACACTTTCTCCTCTTCTGGCTTTATCATACATCTTTTCCCCTCCTACCTATGAAAAACAACAGAAAACTCTGATTTAGGAGAAACAAGTGAATTCAACATCGTTTTATATTTGAAACATGAGAAAAACAATTGCTGTAGATATTCTTTTCTGTAAGGAACTGAGAGAATTTTTACTTTGATGGCTGAGAACATTGGAGGAACTTGCCATATCTCCCCAACAAACGAAGCAGCAGTTTTCTTAATGTCGGTGTCTTTGATGTGCTCCCAAGGCTCACGCTGAATAACCTTCACAAATCAAATGCATCGAATTTACTTTAAGAATCTATAGATATCATTGAAGGCCTCCTTGATCTACTTCTGACCAAGTGTTACTTATAATTCGACAACAAGCAAATATGAGAATAACAAGAGAACAAGCACCTACGGGAGAATCAGCATCCCAGGTTGAAGTAGCTTCCCCAAGGCGAAAAACTCCACTATAACCCTTGACCATACCTTGGTAGCTGCATGAGAACAAATCCTCCATCTTTGATCACATATTCAAAATATAAAAGCCTATCCTGGCAGGCAGAACGAAGAATTGCCATAGCCGAAGAGTGAGAAGATCTGTGCTTCGGCACCAATAGTATTACCTATCCACTACTTTAGTCGCTTTGCCAACACATACAATCAACAAACCAGTCGCCATTGGATCAAGAGTTCCAGCATGCCCAACCTTTTAAGACATATCCGTAAGAAATTCATCAGAGAACAAGATTTACTCAAGAGATGGAACAGAGAAAAAGTAAGCACCTTTTTCACTTTGACCAGACGACGGAGCTTCCCACATACTGTAAATGAAGTCCACCCTGTTCTCTAGCAAAACAAGATAAATGTAAAAAGAAACTCTAAGTTCATAATCCTACATCATTATCACAGCATAGAGCAGATAATCATCAATCACATATAATTGGCTCTAGAGCTTTTATGCTTCCTGCATGCTTCCCTTCCCAATAAATCCTCACACCATAAGGAATTGACAGCTAACACTATTCCACCAACCCTTCATCCACCAGAAAATTCCAGTCTTTCCAGCCTACTCAACATTGCAACATAAGGGATCCCCAAAATCGCAATTTCAAACTAATCTAACTAATCGGATTAAGCACCATTGCACTCCCATGATTCAAACAACCAGCTCAAACAATGAAATCAAATTCCAAACCAATTGCAATGAAATCCAACAACAGATAAGCGAAGTGAGCAAATAGGCTCTCACCTTTCGGCTTGTTAACCAAAACCACAGTGCCATAAGGACCATCCCAGGTGGGAGGAAGCCCATTGCTCCTACTAGCAAGAAACGGCTTTGCTTTCCCAACTTCCCCCTCATTACTCCCAGAACCCTTCTTCAACACCTTGAAGAAATCAGCCACTTTCTTGTGCGTAACATTCTCATTCACCACATCCCCAGCTGAACCACTCCTCATTTCTCCTTTCTTCCCCTCCTCAAAAAACACTAACTTTTCATCTCCTCCTTCACCTGCTCCAATGGCTGCCGACACATCACTCTTTACTCTTCCCTTTTTACTCTTACTGCTTGTTTTCGAGTCCTTGGGATCCATAAAAGCCTTGTCGAGGCACTGATCAGGAAAATACTTCTTCTCCAACTGATAAACCATCTTGTAATGCTTATCCTTCTCCCACGGATAAGCCATCGCGTCGAAGAAGTATAGCTCCTCTTCTCTCTTGTGCAGCCGATGAAACTCCACCACCTCGGGCTTCAACTCCACGAAACCTTCCTCGTCGGCTTTTCTACTCGCCTCCTCGTCGGAATCCGTGCCGTACATCCTCTTCCTCCTCTTGCTGTAATACTTCCTCTTCGACTTGTCCATCTCCGACGACAGCTTCTGATCGACCCAGTCGTCGAATCCCGATTCCGGGTCGGGACTCGGAGCGGAGCCTGGGTCGTCTTCGGCGGCGGCTCGAGTGGGATGTTGCAGCTGCCGGCGGCGACGTGGGTTCACGGAGGATTGGGTCGGGCGGCTGATGATCATGTCGTATTGGAGAGGGTAAGGGGTTTTGGAGGAGAAGCGGGTTGATGATACGGGTCGGCTTCTGGTGAAGAAGGTGGAGACTATTGGCGGGTGCGTGAGAGTTGCCATTGTTGATAAGGGAGGTGGGACTGTGGGTTTTGAGCGGAAGGAGAAGGAAAAGAAGAAGAAGGCTGAGAGGGATTTCGCCATTGATAAGCGCAAAGATTGAAACTTTTTTTGGCTGGAGTTTTGCGCGGAAGAAGAAGAGAACAGTGAAGAAACAGGCCTTCTAAATCGGCCCAATCAAGAAACAGGCCCAGCTCACCGAGTAACAACGTCGCGGACAAGCTTCTACTGCTTCTTCAGCGCTTTCACTTTCAATTCCCCAAATTCTTCCATCTGAAATTTAGGAAAGGGAACGAAAATATCCAAAATTTTCCCGCTCGAAAGCATGGATTCGGCGGCAGCGCCTTCGGCTTGGGGATCTGACGTGGAAGGCGGCGAGTGGGAGCTCCGGCATGACGACGATGGCTTCACTTACAAGATCCTGAAGCGCCCGCGGCTGGACGAAATCTCGGTGCCGGAGCCGCCGCAGGTGGATCCGGAAGCCGAAGAGAAACGCAGGAGATCCCGCAAGCAGAAGGTGCTTCTGAAATTGAAGGGCCGGTACCAGGAAGAGATTGATCGGTGGGAGCGTTTGTCGAACAGCTTGCGGGCAATGGAGGAGAGGGTTAGACAAGAGACGGAATCTCGGAAAGAACAGCAATTGGAAGGGACGAATTTGGGGTCGCCGGCGGTGGAAGGCATGGAAGACTCTTGTGCCTCCCTCGTGGATGAACTCCTGGCTAAGGTAATTCGCTGCTTTCCCAATTTCCACTAGCCTTGTTTGGCCAGAATTGTATGCCATGAGGGTGAAATTGCTCTGAATTTCTAGAGAAAAGCATCAACCCTGGTTTTCTAATTGCTGAATGTTGTCTCTTGTACTTAGGAAATGGTTAGGTTAGACAAATTTTACCCCTGTTTACCTCAAACTCAGTCCTACTATTGGCGTTCACTTGACTTCAACGCTCTGGTTCTTTTAACAGTAGGGTTGCCTGTGTGAATAGATTAAGCTCAGGAATGTGTTCTTCTTGCCTAAGAAAGTGGAGACAATTGCAAGAAATGAAGCATTATTTTGATCATTCTCTTATGTTTCCTTGCCAAGTATTACTATTATTCCCTATTTCCAACAAGGTGACTGCGTTTGACTTGTATTTTCATTTTGGTGAAAAATTGCAGGCAGATGCAGAAGAGAGACTGATCTTGAGTTTCTCAAACCTATGTGACCAAGCAGAAGCAGCTTGTGATGCTCGTCGGGAACGTTTTGTGGAATCCTTCTTAGAGCTGCCAGTTTGGTCTTCACCTCGAGAGCTAATGGCTTCACTCTGTGATGACTGATGAGTAAGTTCCACTGAAGCTACTTGAGAAAAGAGTGTGGTAGTTAGTTTGCCTCTGCATTAGTAAATTACTGATGTTTAGGTATAGATAGTGAAGTTAGAGGCAGCTTTTGGTAGATATCAGTTGTCATCCTTGTTGATCTTGTAAGTATCTCTTTTCATTTGCTTTGAATGTTAGAACTCAGAACATCTGTGAGTGAATGTAATGTGGTGGAAAGAATAGAGATGGAGATATCGTGCTTGAACGATATACAGTTATTAGTGTTTGAGTCATAGGCTCATAGCTAACTCCATTTGTAAAATCTGTTGGTGAACTCAGAGTAAGCGAAATTGGATAAAAGTGTAACTTTTATTTCCGCAGAATATGTGGATCTAAAGTAGAGTGTACTTTATTTATAAAAGAAGTAGTCTGCTTTACAATGAGGCAATTGGCAGAAAAAGGAGTCTCTCTTCTTTCTTAATGTCTTGACAAAAGAATTTTGGTGCTAGTGGGGCTTGCGTTACACTTACATATCATGTGTGCATCCACAGCAACAACTTTTCTACTTAATCTCGAATGATAAAGCTATAATTTGGAACAAACAGATGGATTATCATATCCAGAGAGAACTAACTACAATGCTTCTTTTAGCTGCTGCTCTGAGATTTCTGCTAATTCATGAAGCAAGCTTGCGATCACCCTCGTGAAAGATTGGACTGAGCAATTTTCACAGGCTCAACGATGAATCCAGCTTTCTGACATTCTTCCTCCAGGAGCTTAACCTGCGATTGGCCGTTTGGGCAAAACACAATCACAGCACCTCCGCTGCCTGTAAATTTGGAGGCAGCTCCCACCTTCCGCGCTGCTTCCACCATTTTTATGTTTAAATCACCAATCACATCATCGCCAAACATGCTCCTGAACATTTGTTTATTTTTCAGTAAGCATTTGACATCAGAAGTTTGTTCTTCACTGCCATAGTTTCAAGCTTTTGCTAGAACAGATTGAGATGACTTTACCTTCGAAGATCGAAGTTACGATTCATGAGCTCTGCAAGTTTCGAGTAGTTCTTCTCCAGAATAGCAGTTTTTCCATGTAATGCAAGATCTGCAACTTCGGCCATTGTTGTTATTATGAACTTGTCTCCATCAAGCCACCTTTGCTTAACCGTGCTATGCACCTGCATTGAAGAATTCGTCTATAAATTGAAAACCTTACCCTTCTATTCATCTATCAAAAGGTTAGCCGTCATTTTCCTAGCAACCTTAGGCAACAATTGAGTAACTGCAATCTACACATCAAAGAAGGAGCAACCATTTCTAGACTAACCTTCCCAGAATCACTCGGGTTCTCGGCATATACAAGGTGAAGAGGTGGGAGGAGGTTAATATCCATGGGGGTATAGATCCCATGTCCCAACTTATCCATGTGCTCCTGTGAAAATTCCTGGGCAACCAACAATGCAGATTGCTGTTAGAACCATTTAACAGTCGGCAAACATTTCGATTCATTATCTGCAACAGGCATCACCCTACCATGTAAACGAGGCCGCCATAGATCTGGGCCACTCGATCTTGAAGGCCAGCCACGATCCCCAGCTCTTTCTCGGCGCTTAACACGAGATTCGGCCTGATTTCAACCTTGATCTGGTCCCTGACTTTGTAGAAGTCCAGCAGGCAGTTCAGTGCTGCAGATACTATAGCACTTGATCCAGATAGTCCTGCCTGAAGAAAAAAAAATGTCAACTAAGCTTAAACCAATAAACTGGCTAATCATCATCATCATCTTAGTTTCAGATATGATTAAATAGTGGAACAATTGCTTGTTTGTCTATAACACGTGCAACGGACACAACGAACCATTATTTTTATCAGAAGAATAGGAGCTAAATTGTTCTGTTCCTTCTGTGGATGAATAAAGAATGACTGATATGGAAACCCAAGAACAACTTGGGGGGAGAGAGTGAGAGAAAGTTATATTATTAACCTGACGAGGAATGTTGGTGTCATAAGAAAGAGCAAACTTGCGCTGATGAAGGGAGATCTTATGCTCCCTGCAGTAATTGTAGAAAACTTTACAGATCGCCATTAGCAACCTAACTCCTCCATAATAACCTTCACTCTGCAGCCGATTCACCTGGCAGTCAAATTAAAATTTTCAAAAATTTAACCTTTTACCAAGATTGAGATAAATGCCAAGAAGAAGAACCCATGCATCAAATCTGCATAAAGATGAAAACTTGAGAGCGACCCACTACTCCAAAACAACCTAGGAACACCTGAGAGATCCACATAGATTCCCCACCACAGATCTTTTGTTTCAGATTCTCTGTTCCCAGATTATGATAAAATACTAATTAAGAGAATAGACCCATTAGTCCTAAATTATGAAAAGAAACGGAACCTGAAAGAAACAAAAACAAGAAAACAGAATCTGGCAAAAAGGGGATGGGTTATATGGATAGGAGACGGACCAGGTGATCAAGGGAGGAGAAATTGACGAGATCATGCTTGGGGTGGGGAGTGATGACGAGTTCGTCGGAAGGCCGAAGAACGACGGTGGCCCAGAAATTGGATAGGCTGAAAGAGATGGTCCTCCCGAAATAGACGTCACTTGGATTACCCAGTAGGCCAACACGCGCATACGATCTGTGCTCAATCAGCCCTTCCGCCATTTCTCTGTTCTCTGAGGAATCAAAACGGAACCCCAATTTCGCGAAATCGGGAGAGAAACAAACGAACAAAATTTGGTGGTGGGTAAGGACGACGAAGGAGGAAGGACAAAGAGAGGGAGGTAATAAAGGGTGCAAAGAAAAAGAGAGACGCGTCTCTGGTTATGAAACTTCGTTGGATTTTCTTATAGAGGCAGGGGAAAGCCAAGAGGGCAGAGTCCAGCTGTTAAGATCTTCTTCTATCTATTGCTCTGTTTTTTTCTCCTTTTTCATGGTTTTTGTTTGGGCGTTGTTATCAGGTGGTGAGTCAGCATCCAATCACGGAATTTATTAATTTCAAATTTTGTTAGCGATTGAATGCTAATCCAAATATTAGTGTGATGATCCATTGGTCATTGCCCAATCTAGGAGAAGGGGGAAAGAGGGCAAAAGCCGTTTTGGCCTTTGGGTTCTTTGACTTCTTTCTGATCCTTTCTTTGTGAGTTTGGTCGGTTTCGATTTCTTTAAAGGGGCTGGCTTTTAATTCTACAGGCCGATTGAGGAGGCGATCAGATGAGAGAGGTGGGATGAATGAGGGAGAGGGGTTGTTACGAAGTGAAGGAGATGATTCAGTGGTTTGCTCTCCCGCGCTGGACTGTTGTTCCCGCTTTCCCGCCCTATATTCTGCTGACGTCTGTACAACAGCTTTCCTCTATTTGGGTCAATTGGTCACCTAATTTTTTGGACTTTGACAAGTCCGTCACTGAACTTTGATTTATTAACAAATTTGTGTAAAGAGAGATGAATGACTAACCTAATAAGCCACTTCATCCATTTTTCATCAGGTTTGTCGGAGCCGATCGAATCATTGAACTCGCTCATTCAATAGAACCTTCTTATAGACACTATTGTCTGACACAGAGAGGGGGCGAAGAGCCGACAAACATATTAGAGTTGTTTCTAATGAGTTGTTTGGATGTGAGCATATGCACTATTTATTTAGAAAAACACATGTAGTGGATTGTCCATATATGAAATATAAACGTTATGTGAACAGATTGAACTCCTCTCTCGTATCTTTTGATCAAACGGGACTCATAATAATATTTGATAGAATAGTTGCAGGTATCGGATTGTGAATACAGAGATCCTGGTTTCAAAAGCTCGTAGCACTCAACCCTCGTACTCTGCCATCCTCCCCTTGTTGTTACGAACCCATCAGAAAGATAATTTGCATCAAACTTGAGTGTCAAAAGACAAGTTTGCCTTGGGTCAATTATAATGCATACCGAAGTGGTTTGGTTACGAGATCCAAGTCAATTACAATGCATATTGAATAGTTGCGTATTGAAATGGTTTGTTCAGATTGTTTAATCAGAGTCTATCTATCGAGGTACTTTTAGAGCGGGAAAAGAAGAATGATTACAATGCTAGTTATTTCAAACTAGAATGTCAATGTTTGGTTACGAAATCCAAGTTGAGTGACCATTTGTGCAAATGGTCGCTTAGTTAGATTTTCGCTTTCACATAATGATTTGTTATTGGAGACATTGGCATGACGCCGCTTCTTCGCCGCCCAGTTGCATTCTCCCCCACTTCCCGCCTCCCTTTTGCTTCTTTTTTGTCTGTTTGCCCTTTTCTTAGCTCTGAAATGGGAGATGTAAATGTACCCTAGGTTGGGTAGATGGGTGCATGCCATCATATGATATTATTAATGACAACTTCACGTCACCAACACCAATCTAGCTAGACGGCACTAATAACTTTACTTACGCTGCATGTCTCAGTCTCACGTCCCCATCAGACTTGGCAACTAGCAAGTTGCCATTGTTGTACTTCCCCACCGTTAACTAGCTTACATTTAATCTCTCAACGATGATGGGATCCAAAGCAGACCTCCGAGAGACTCTCCTTTTCGAACACCCTGAGAAGTTCATGAAAGCAGAAGATTCGGACATACAGTCCTGTCAGATTCAGTAGCCTACACTTGTTTATTATGACACTTCATCTATCAAGGATACCAACATCATTGTATGCCTTTAATCAACTGCCTCAGTCTGCCAGACTGCCACCATGATTCGGTAATCGGACTTGCACATAACACAATGACCAAAATTTGTCTTCAACTTCGACCATGAAACCCTATTCATACAAGAATTCACATCCTCAACATCACCCATTTAAGCAAAGGATCGGCTAAATCCGTCCATTGTGACAATCTAATCCAAGTGGCCACTTAGCTGAATTCATATACACAACATGTAACATTCTCCCCACTTCACCAGGCAGGTTGGCATCCCTATCCATAGTGGAAACCACCATCAACATCTATCTACCTGTCACTTAATATCTTCACATAAATACACAGATTATTATATTAGCCTGAGAGTTCGACCTCATCCAACTCTATCCTGAATCTCACAATCAGTCAACGACAACGAAGTCCACCCCTTAACCCACTTCTGTCTGCAAAGCTTGACTTCGGTTGCACATAATCAAAGCCTATCAAAGTATTGGCAACCATGTTTGACAGAGGTAAAAACAACAGACAATAGTTAATAACTTCAGCAGAGCTCATGAAGAAAATGAAGTAAGAAAAACTGTACAATTCAACCCAATAGAGGCAGCAGCGTACAGTACCCCAATCATCACATTTTCAGTCTGCAAATTAGTTATACGGACACATAGCAACGACACTAACAAAAACTGGAGGGAAAAAAGAAACTGAAAGAGAAACATCCCTTATCAGTCAGCATCTTCCTCATCGTCATCTTCACCGCCTTCTGGCAATCCCACGTCATCGCCGATTCCTTCCAGCAGTGTATCAACGTCCTCACCAAGCTCCATCAACCTCGAGCTGAGTTTGTCCACCTTGCTCTGCTCCTGGCCCAGGCACACCAGCAGATCGTTCAGCTCCCCTTCGCTCTCCTTCAGAGCTTCCTCTCTCGCCTCAGCCTTTGCTGCCTCTACATCTACTGCGGAAACACCTCCTCCTCTGCCGCCGCTGGTTCTTAGAGCCTTCACCTCCTTCTCGAGCTGGAAGTTGGCCTGTTCGAGGCTGTTGTAAGCGTCGGAGAGGCTCTTAAGGTCAGACTCCACTTTGCCGGCTAAGTTCTGGTACATTGATGCTTCTGATTCAAGCTTCGTGTTTTCATTCTTCAGCATCTCGATCCTTTGGTGTGCTTCCTTGAGATCTCGCCGGAGAGTTTCAGTCTGTACCCTTTCGGATCCTGTGGTAGCTCTTTGGTCAGAGTAAGATGACTCGCCCCCACCTATCTTCACCAGATCCTCAGCCAATGTTGCATTCCTTCCAAGAAGATCCTTTTTTCCCCACAAGAACCACAGAGACTCGAGGTTTAGTATTCTAGGAAACAAAAAAAAAAAAAAAAAAAAAAATTGACAAAAGCTGAAACACCACAGCCATAATGTTTGCACAATACAGCCAGATAGAAATATACCTGTATCTCAGAGCATTGTTTCTCCACAAATGACTTCAGCCGTCTGATATACTCCTTGTCAGATTCTCCAGTCTTCTGCTCCATATCTGCCGGCACAACTGCCACCTCGGTCTTTGGAAGACTGTAGATGTTAACGATGTTCTCACGAATCTCAGATTCCAATCTCTTTACAAAGTTGATAAAACCAGAATCGAACATTGACGAGAGAATTGGATGATCCTCGCCCTTATGATCGGATGATAGCTGCTCATCAACATCTTCAATCTCTGCCATACTAGCAGCGGCTGATCTCGATAATGGTTTATGAGAAGGTGCGGTGGATTTTTCGGCGGAGAAAAGAAAGCTCTTCTTCATTTCGTCAAACTTTAGGAAGTATGACGTCAGCCCAACCTTCTGGCTTATGGCGTCGACGACCGCATAAGAATCTTTTCCAGATTCACTAGACTTATTGTAGATAACACACTCTCCCAGGAGAATTGCTGCTAAGCCTCTTGTGGATACAGTTGCGGACTGATCTGAGACCAGCTCGAGCAGATATGATAAGTGAGGGCGGAGATCGAGGAAGTAATTGACTGCTGGCGGGCAATCAGAAAGCCAAGTGACAAGCAGCTTCAAGATGATTGGTTGAATGTATGAGTTCCCTGATGTGTTCGATTTGCTTTCTTTGTGTTTCGTTCCTGATGCAAGAGCTAAATATTTCACCATCAGGTGCATCAATGGCTCTGAATGTCCCAAGGCTCCTGAGGATGACTCGAGTTCTATCCTTAGAACCTGACAAATTGAACCAAAGATCAACCATGGAAAAACTGAAGAAAGAGATGTGCGCTTTCCTTGTGACTAAGTGAAAATTAGTAAAGGCCTCATGCTTTTCTTGTGACTAAGTAAAAAGACCAGAAATGACTAAGGATCCATAGTCTACTTTATAAAAAAAATAAAAGAAGGGGAAATCGTACCCTTTCCTTGCACTGCATATTGTCCTTGAGTACATATGACAGGACACTAGCAGCCCTGCAACAAGTCTAGAATTCAAAATATATTCAGTGAATATGATCCGTCAACCACTAGATATAGAACCTTAGTCCTAGAAATTGTATGATGAGACAGGTATTTAAATTTTCCCTAAAAGTCAACACATACATCGAGATCGCCATCAGTTTCACTCGAAGTAAGACCATGCAAAACCATACTGCCACAACAAAAGGTAAAATTAGATAACAAATCAAAGTGCAAGGAAGATGGATAAAACCAGCAATAAGCAAATAGATTCAGCAGCCAGGAGTGAGCTTGAAAATTCCAACCTGCCAAATGACATGTTCACATCCTCATCAATGGAAGCATGAGTCATTGAATATGGCTGAGGGATTAATGTTGAAGCTAACATTGATTGACCATCACAATTCCCCTAACAAACAAAATCACAATTATACAGTAGTGAGAATGGTCTATCTCAGCAATGGATACGATACATTCTCTTCTTATGTGAAGACAAAGGAACCAACCTCACAAAATCTTTCAAAAATATGGTCAGCTGCAATGAACTCCTGCATGCTGGACGCCCGCAAAATGATTCGAAGAATAGAATTCAGAGCAGGTTCAACTTGGTGATTCTCCCCTAGAACTTTGCTAGCAAGAGCATCTAGATTCCCTCGATGCCCAGCGATCAAGTCACCTATGCACCTCAATGCCTGTGAAGATTGCAAAATTTCCAAGGATAAATAAATGAAAACTGATAAGTCTAGGGGAAGAAAAATATCCTCAGGGTTTCTTTGATGGAAAGACTGAATGAATGAATTTTATTTCTCTCTAAGGATACAGAAAATTTAGGAGCAAGGAAGATGCCTTACAGCACAACGGACAGCAACTGGAGCCCATTGGTTTTCCACACCCAACAGTAAGAGATAATCAAGAACCTTTTTCTGCAAACAAAATCGACAGAAAACGTATGAGCAACATCTTTATCGTTGCAAAGCCTCCCCCTTTTTATGCATCAGAGCTTGTGATTTGGTATACAACCTGAACCAGGACAGTTTTATTTGTCAGCTTATTTGCATCTTTTCCCGCATCAGCTTCAGAACCTCCCACCAATAGCAAATTAATTGTCCCAAGAACACTTAGTAGATTAATTGTCTACTGGCAAGGTGTTTGTTCAAATAACAGAAGAAAGCCACAGTAAGGATTATGTGATGATATAATTACTGGAAAAAGGCACACCATCCACCAGCAGACAAAATGCAAAGCTACTGTGATATCAGTACCAAACCTTCTGTTGGGTGAAGCTGTAGGCACGCCCTCTCAGCCTCAACATTGAAATTAAACCATCAAATCCCATGGTCTCTCTCAGCAGTATCTAGATAGTACATAACACCAGGATTAGCGGGTAACATGCTGTTATAGAGGCATGACAGATCATTAGACAAGTTGACCAACCTGATTCGAAGTATTGTTTCGCAGAAGGTTGTTTAATAATTCCAGACAGTCCTGCTCAAACAAAAGAGTTGATCATGTAAAAAGAATCACGCCCCTTGCAAAGTTCCCAAAAAAAATGTTCATTTTAACCAATAGAAAGAAAATCCACGCTGTAACTAGGCAACAGGTGCAATTCAGTCACCTGTACAACAACACCACCTTCAGAGCCTCCTTCCTCTTTAATAATACTAAAAATCTTCTCAAACGCACCTTCAAAGACCACAATTTTTTGAATCTCCTAAAGATATAAAAACAGTACATCGGTAAGAAAACAGCACAATGCACTGGAAATAAAATCACCAAGGTATAATATTTGGGAAGAGATAGATTGAAGAAGATACAGTAGGAGAAGATAATTGCCTCAGCTTCACGAGTCAGGTAAGTAAGAAGCAGCAAAGCCTCATTTCGTATAACCTACAAATGTTTCATACATGATTTCAGGAAATGGTTCAAAACTGTTTAATCCCTATGCACTAAAAGAAATTGGACAGTGTTCCGATACTCGGTTCTATTTACCTCTCGGTCCATCAACATGTCCATAAGTCGAGTGATGCCCCGAGGAATGGTCAAAATTGCTTCCTGTAACCTGAATAGGAACTCAGCAAGAGCTTTTCCAGCGTAACCAGGGGAAAAGATGCAAAAGGAACAACTGGAACAGAAGAGGAACCAAAAAAAAAAAAAAAGGAGGATGCTACTAATCGTACCTATTCGGAGAATTCATTAGAAGAGCTGTCAAGATTTGAAGAGTGTAATAACGTATATAGAAATCCTCTTCTGACTGCAAGAGGTAGAAACAAAGAATCAAGAAGAGACAACAAAGGCTGCACTTATCCTTCTAATTAAAATAAATGCAGATAGGGATTAATTTCAGTAAGTGATCACCAATAAACTCAGAAGCAAGGATATGTTTTCAGCTTCATGTGAGAGCATATCCGTATTCATTAGTGCTGGTTGGACCTCATTCTTTCCTTTTGATTGCTCTAGAGGGGTCAACGCTCCTACAATAGTTTCAAGGGCACCTCGAATCTGCACCAATGTAGCAAGTCCTTTAACACGAGAAATGGTAAATCAGTTTACATAAGCCAGACTAAAAACCAAAGAGTGAACATCCTCCAATTCCATCCTTGACATTATTAATATTAATACATAAAAGAAAACAGTTGAAAATGAGAGAAGATAGGATACCATTTCAACATCATCTCTCTCATCCTTTAAGACGCCCATCAAAACAGGAAATCCTGCAAGATAACAAGTATGTATTATTGAATAACATAATGAACAAAGGAATTAGAATGTTAAAAGTCACAACCTGGATGTTAGAGGTGTGACAAAGGGAGCACATACCCATAGCCCCAAATGCTAGCTGTGCAGCACGGCTTTCTACCACAACTGATTGAAGCTCGATCAGGGCTGATCTCCTATCCTCTGCCAATGAACCAGTGCTGATTCGGTCCAGCAACCGTTGCACATAGCTAACAAAGTACCATGCACAATAAACCAATTTAACAAACTAATCACTAAGACCAAGAACCGAATAATGGATTGCAGCAGGGGACACAATGCAAGTCGTATGCCTAACATATTAAACACCGGAGTAGGCACTTCACAAGGCGTTCTAGAGGAAATCTACATAACCCTCATATTAAAAGAGAGAAATAGCTTTCTTAAGTATAATTAGACAGCAGTGTTCAAAGTTTATTGGCAGGATTAAAAAGATCAGGTATTGGTTTGGATTGACATGCGAATTTAAAAAGAAAATACTGGATTTCAACACAGAACAGCTCAGCAGCCCTATGCCTATCAATTGAATAGTGAGACCAGGCACTATGCTGCAGAATTTACTACAACCAAAAAGCTCCTTTCTTTAAGGCATATAGGTTTTGATCCTAAGAACCAAAAGACCACTTGACTAAGCCATTGGCAACTTAAAAACAGTACTCAATCCGAAAATAAAGTTTCCTTAACCTTGAACTGTAACATGCATAACATCAGTTGATAGTAGCTCACCTATCTTCATTTGAAGAGGAATTCTCGTTGCCAAAAACAAGCCCAACCATACCCTGCATAGAAACAAATCTCGCTCAGCCACACAGGCAATTTAACAACTATATCACCAATGGGGATACTGAACACGAATTCACACACAAAGCTCGTCAGAACATAGGCCATCACATGCAGGACAAGCAAGCAAACCAGCATTTGACAAGGCCACACTGAATCAAGAAATAAGAGCAGCTGAACAAATGAAGCGGAAGGATAAAGAAAGCAGACGATCACCTTGTATCCAGAAACCAAATCCATCTCGATAAAGCTCTAACTTGACAAAGAGACAAACGATTAACCAGCTCCCCTACCAATTCGTCCAGTAACTGCCCAGGCGCAGAGCTCCAGACTGAAATCCCTAAACCGAGTCGCCGAAACAGCGAGGCCGTAGACCAGAAAGAAGATCGGGCGGCCGGAGCTAATTCAAGTCAGGGGGAAAAAGCGAGAGAATCACTTATCGCCGGAAGGGAGATCCTCCGGGCAAGCCAGCCTTTTTTCCGTCGATTTTTGCCACGTCGCCCTCCGGTTACAGATTTGCAAGAGTTTTTCAGAGCTGGTTCTTCCTCGCACTTCTTCTGACCATCGTGACAGAGAGGAAATCGCAAGTTTTCTTCGGTTCCTTGTGGTTATCTGACTCACGGTGACGTACTCCAGAGCTCGGAGTGAGCGATGGAAGTTGTTTCCGTTGCTGGGCTTCCGGCCCACGTTAAGGCTAATGAGATAAGCCCAAATGAAAAAGATTTAATTCACTTCTGGGGTCATTTGGATCCAGGTTTTTAATTTGTGGGATTTTGGCTCAAATCACTGGTTTAAAAACCTAGGTTTTTAATTTGTGGGATTTGTGTGGGATTTTAAAATAGCTGATCACCATCAGCTATTTCATAATCCCACAATTGTGGGTTTCTGAAATCTCTAATATTTAAAATCTCTTATCATATAATTGCTTTCCAAATGAGTGATTTTAATAAAATCCCACATTATGTAGGATTGTGCCCAAATCCCACACCCAAAACCTGCATCCAAATGACCCCTGGATTCTGGTAAATTGACCGCCAAATGGTGTTGCCGCCGTCTGATTGAGTTCCTCCCGCTGCCGCTTTCTTTAAACTGAAAAAGGCCATTGCTTTGCAGTTTAAAGTAACAGAGAGTGTTCGCAGGTTAGTGATAAATTTGGTTTTAGCGTACGGGGTTGTTGTTTTCTCTTCCTCGAGCCCCATTATGATTTGGGATTTTGCGCTTCTAATTCAGATCCTCAAATGCGGCGGACGTTGATGTCGTTTCCCCGCCGTCTGCTGGCATCGACACAGTATTCCCGCAGATATCCGGATGAGTTCTTGAACAAATTCAACTCTAGGTGTGTTGGTTTCAGGGCCTTACATTCTCTGGTCAATCTGAATTCTTCCTCCTCTCCCACAATCAAGGACTTGGTTTGGCAAGGGTTCCATGTACAAGCATTGCAGTTGTATGCTCGCCATACTCCTGCTGTCATTTCCAAGTACACCTTTCCTTCTCTTCTCAAAGCCTGTGCTTCCCTTGCAAACCTTAAGTACGGAAGAACGATTCAAGCGACGATCACTGCCATGGGTTTGTGCCGTGATCCATTCATTACTACTTCACTAATAAACATGTATGTGAAATGCGGGTCACTGCTGGATGCAGTTAAGGTGTTCGATAAATTGCCGGAAAGGGAGCTTTTGGCGGGAGATTCTTCGATTTGGAACTCGATAACTGATGGGTATTTTCGTTTCGGTCGTGTTAAAGAGGGTGTTGCTCACTTTCGTCGGATGCAATCGTCTGGGATTCGGCCTGATGCCTACTCATTGTGCATTGTAGTTGGGTATTTGGGATATGAAGAAGGGAGGCAGATTCATGGCTATGTTGTTAGAAACTTGCTTGGTAGTGATACTTTCTTAGAGAGTTCGCTATTAGACATGTATTTTAGGTGTGCTAGGCCGATGACTTCCTGTCGTATGTTCCAAGGGCTAGAGAACAGGAGGAGAAATGTTGTGTCATGGAATGTGATGATGGGAGGGCTTGCTGAGAATGGTTTGTGGGAAAGTAGCTTGGAGTTGTATTTGCTGGGCAAGAGTGAAGAAATGGAACTCGTTTCGGCATCCTTCACCAACATCTTGGGTGCTTGTGGTCAGGGCGAGTGTGTAAGTTTTGGTGAACAGGTTCATTCTGATGTCGTTAAGATGGGTTTTGCGAGTAACCATTATGTTTGTACCTCTCTTTTGACCATGTATGCCAAGTGCAAATTTATAGAAGGTGCAGAAAGAGTGTTTGAGCAAGTTAGTGACAAGGGAATTGAACTTTGGAACGCAATGATCTCAGCTTATGCCGGCAGCGGTTCTATTTATGGTGCTTTAGACACCTACAAGCAATTGAAGATTCACTATATCATCCCCGATTCTTTCACAATGGCACATGTTCTATCTTGTTGCAACATAGTTGAAGTGCTCGACTTGGGTAGGTTGGTCCATGCAGATTTAGTCAAAAGACCTATAGAAAGAAATATTACCGTAGAAAGTGCATTGCTTACGTTGTATACTAAGGGTGGGCTGGACCATGAAGCTAACTTGGTTTTTAGTAGTATGACGGGTAGAGATGTGATTGCATGGGGCTCCATGATCTCTGGTTTTAGCCAAAATGAAAAATTTGTTGAGGCTTTGAATTGTTTCAGAGATATGAAGAAAGATGGACTGAAACCGGATTCTGATATCATGGCAAGTGCAATCAGTTCTTGCACAGGATTGGAGAATGTAAATTTGGGCTCTTTGATGCATGGATTTGTTACTAAGAGTGGGTTAGAAAAAGATGTTTTTGTTGCAAGTGCCCTTTTGGATATGTACTCTAAATGTGGCTTCCCTGACATGGCTGCGAATGTGTTTTCTCACATGCCATTCAAAACCATTGTTTCTTGGAATTCGATGATGTCATGTTATAGCAGAAACGACCTGCCTGAGAGGTCCATGGAAACGTTTTATCAGTTTCTAGAGTATGGATTGGATCCTGACGCCCTATCTATCACTAATGCTCTTGTTGCTGTTTCATTACTTGCAGTTCTGGTCAAAGGGAAGACTCTGCATGGTTACCTCATTAGGCAAGGAATTCTAACTGATATTCATTTAGAGAACGCACTAGTTGACATGTACATCAAGTCTGGATCTCTGAAATACGCGCAGAATGTTTTCCAGAAAATGTGTTGGAAAAACTTGGTTTTGTATAATTCAATGATGGATGGTTATGGATCGCATGGTGAGTGCTGGAAAGCAATGGCATTATTGGATGAAATGAGGAATACTTCGATCCAGCCTGATCATATCACCTTCATTTCTCTACTTTCCTCTTGCAATCATTCAGGCTTGATTAAGGAAGGCCTCGATCTTCTGCATTTGATGAAAATTGAGTATGGGGTTGAACCTAGAGAAGAGCATTATGTAACTGTTGTTGATATGTTAGGTCGTGCAGGACAGCTAGATGATGCTTATGCCCTAGTTAGGAGCATGCCTATTGAACCTAGCAAGAGCATTTGGTTATCGCTATTAAGTTCCTGTCGAGCTCATCATAACGTGGATCTTGGAGAAGTTGCAGCTACTGAGCTATCAAAGATTGAGCCAAGTAGAGGCAGCAATTATGCTCAGCTTCTGAATATTTATGGAGAAGCTGAATTGTGGGACAGTGCTGCAAAGTTAAGGGCATTGATGAAAGAAAAAGGGCTGAAAAAGAAGGGTGGATGCAGCTGGATTGAAGTCAGGAACAAAGTCGGTGTTTTCTACTCTGGAGATTCCTCATGTCCACTGACACCTCAGATTTATGGGGCACTTGGTAGCCTAAGGAGAAACATGTTGAAAAAAGAAAGTTGCTTTGATATTGTTAAAGCCCTGTTAAGCTACTGATCTGATCTGAAAGCATCAGGATTTTATCGTACATGCAGAAGCTGAGTTACCAAAATACGTTATTGATTTTGCTTCGGGTGAACCGGGAACCAGACAACGTGAGTCATTCTGACTTTCTGTGTTATTTAGAGAAGTGCTAACACCATTTCCCGATTGCATCTTTTTTGGGAATAAATCATATGCATTCATAATGTGTTGGGAAAATTCTAGTCGTCCTAATTCTTTCGGAAGCAAGGGCTCGTTCAATATTTGCCTTGTTATAGTGGGTAATGTCACATTCCCTGTTTAGTAATTAATCACCTAGCTGACCATATGGATAACCACGAAAGTAACAATTGAAGGACATTTTATTGGTCTTGCATGAAGCATGGTATGTTTCTTTCTTCTGAAGGATCAATGATTTGGTCTTGCCATGCTACAGTAAATGATTTAGCTCCTGTATGTAATGCATAATCATGTTATTGTTCTATTGGACTCCCAGACACGAGTCATTTTCATCACTGGACTTTTTCCGGAAGATGGGTGGCTTTCTTCGTTCTACTCTTGCTTAAGGGAAAAAGGTAGCATTTAGTTTTTATTTTGAAATAGAAAAGTTACACTTCTGCTAGATATTGTCCTGGTGGTGTTCTTGTTTGTGTATGTGCTTACATGGTTTTCCGGTCGTTATTTGTATATATTATCAGTGGCTTTTGTATATTTCTCTCTTCTTATGCACTAACCTCTCTCCTTCTGCGAATCATCTAGCGCAACAGAGAAAGCGTTGTAGAGGCCAAATTCCAAGAACTTGAAATGGAAAGCTGCAACAGTTATCCTTCCGGACAATGTTTTATGCGCACACTGAAAAATGATTCTGCTCTTTTGGCCTGCAAGACTGAATATTATCAACAATTTCCCAGGGAACTTTTAATACCTGATCCCTCTCTCTTCTTTACCCAGTGTGCTTTCAGACCCATTTGTCCCTTTGAAGTTAACATTTTTGTTGGTATCTGGGTTGCAGCAGCGCTGGTTCTTTTCCCAACAAGGGAGCTCTGCAGAAATTACGAAGCAAGCAACTATGGATGCATTGGCTTATCACTTCCTTCTTCTGTTACAACAGCAAAGCAACTAGCCTGCACCTGCTTGGATACGCTAGGGGAATGCTTATGTTGCAGCCAAAAATGAGGGAGATCATGCAATGTCGACTTATTACCATACTGCAGCTCGTTTATTTCCAGGGTATTCATGATTTTATCTTGTCATCAAACAGATAGTTTAATGCTTCTTGCGTTTCCATGTTTAGGACATTGCGGCGGGGTTCTTGGGTGCAATTAATTTGACTAACTTGCATTAGTCTGCCTTTTTCATTTGGTCACTTATAGTGCATGTTGTAACACTGTTCTCTCACAACCTTTGTACTTTTGGCTGGCGTTTTCAGCTTACATAACATATTCGAACTTGTGACTGTTCCTAGGATCTCAAATTTTTTAGCATTCCATTGCTGATTCAAATCTATATATTGGTTTTTACAGGTTGAATCTTAAATTCTCTTGTTCCATTTGGGTGTGATTTGCCAACACTGTACCGTTGGGATGAAGTACATGCACGCGGACAGCTATAAGCTTGCTAAGCAGGTATATTTCAGTTTTCAGATACTTGGAGTTTTGATTCTAGGAAGCTCTTTGTAAAATATGAAGTCTCTCAGCCTCAGGCTTGGTACTGATATGGAGTCTGGGTCTGGTGTGCTGATGATGGTATTTGACTAGTCCTATGTCTCGCCTTGTGTTGCATTTGCAGGATAATTTTACAGCTGCAATTACATATTATCACAAGGTAAGGCGGCGGCACCCACAGCTTTCATCTTGGATGAAGACTTACCCTCTCAGTCACTGACTGCTGATTACTGTAGCTTAGTTTATGAATGCACTGCTGCTGTTTTGTTATTTGAGCAGGCGCCGACCGTGGCTGAAACCGGATGATCAATTCTGGATGTCGAGGACGAAGCTCATTATCATACATAAAGACCTGAAGTTCGAATCCCGCCTGAGTAAGGTTTTTGTGTAACATTGTTCATGTTTTTGAGAAACCCAGAAACAAAATCTCATCATATAGGTAGGCCGTAGTGCATGGGCATTGTTCAAGTTTTTCCTTCTTTTTCCTAGAGTAGTGTAACCAATTTAGTTGTCTAAATGTGACCAATGGGCTGGAGGATCCTGTGAATTAGCTAGCTGCCCCTCGTTGGGATGGGAACTATTTTCTTGACCCTCAAATTCTTACTTCTCTACTCTTTGCAAGTTTTGCTCAAAAAGTCTTGAGAAGAACATACCACTTTTTTCCAATCAACTTGGTATCCTTCATCCTTGTAGCGTTTATGGTTCGTCTACCACTTCTAAGCTTGTGAGGTTGACCAAACTCCCAAGTTCTCGGCCGTCTATTGAAGGTTTCCCACCAACTCAAAAGCATTACAAGGTCGCCCACAGTCTCGAGTTCCCAACATAGATTCCAACCAAAAATACTTCTGGGGGTGGGTTTCCTCCAAACCCGATGGTTTTGGTGTGATTCTGATATCCGCATCGAAATCATATGACCGTATGCGAAACATATATATTCAAAACGTCATTGCTTCACAACTTCGATCATTCATTTTCTTTGGACATGATTATCTCTTAAACCCCAAACTTTGGTCATTCTCTCTCACTTTAACAAACAATATACTAATGAAGCCTCAGTTCACCTCAATATACCCTACATATATCAACAACACTACACAATCATGGCTGAGGAGCATTGCAAATGACTGTTATGCAGAAGAACAACTCCGTTATGTGCATGCGACCAGCCTACTAGATTAATTCAGGAGAATGATAAATTCTATCCGAAAAATTCCAATCTCGATTCCCAACCAAACACTATGCTAAATCTAGATGTTCTACTCAGGTCGAACATAATATTTTAAATCGAAATTATTTCAATATAGAATTCCAAAAAAAAAAAACTAATAGAAATTTCATTGTTTCCATATGAGAAGTTTCCTTGTTTAGTTGAGGCTACGTTTACCAACACCACCTAAACTTAAATAAGGCATTGAATTTCGGTTGACTCTTTGAATTAGTCCTAATAGTAAGTCTCTAGCCAGGAATGGGTTAGGGTGATTACTTATTTTTTAGTAATCATGGTGGCAACCTCTTTATATACCATTAGATTTTATATTTTTCCTTCTTTTTTAATCTTACGGTCAAGATTCTTTTAGGGTAATTTTGGAAATGAAAAAGTGATCACACCCGATTATTCTATATAATCTATCCAAACCCTAGTTCTACCCTCCCTCCAACCAAACCCGCTGCAGCCGCCTCCACCACTCCGTCGCACTAATCCTGCCGGCCGCCTACACCAGTCCCTCCCCTCAGCCATCCCGACGACTACCCTCGACGAAAACGACACCTATAGCCGGCCACCACCGATCATCCGGTGAGCTCCTGGCAGAGCCATTGCTGTTGTCGTTGGGCACGTCACGGCCCAAAGGAAGAAGGAGCATCAGTTGCGGCGGCTGTGGTGGATTTTCTTCTCGGGAGATTCTAATCGTAGACACAATAAAACACTTTTGGAATTGCCTATGGTGGAATTCCAGAGACGCCTGTGGTGGGGATGAGATGGTGATGATCTGCTGATCTGGTAATTGTTTTGATTTGGTATTGGTTTGTTTTATGATAATGGTATTGATTTGATTTCATAATAGTAGTGGTATTGATTGATTTTGGTATTGGTTGACTCTTGTAACGGTATAAATTGTTTGTATTGGTAGTTTTAGTTTAATGGTGTTGATTTATTTATGCAATGGTATTGTTTTGATTTCACAGTAGTAGTGATATTGGTTGTTTTGGTATATGTTTGACTTTTGCAATGGTATAGATTATTTATATTGGTAGTTTTCGTGTAATGGTATAAATTTATTTTTGCAATGGTATTAATGTTTTTCAAAATGGTAGTGGTTCTCTAATGGATTGGTAGTGATTTTGTGTTTTTTCTTTTGCAGAAAGATTGAGAAAAATATGGAAAGGAGATCTGGCTGGAGATTATGGAAGTGAGAGAAAGAGGAAAAATTGAAATTAATAAATTTTTGTAACTACCTAAAATGTCATTTATTAAAATTAATTAATTAATATAATTTATTTTTCCATACCCAATTTACCCTTAGTAACCACGGTGATTACTACAAAATAGTAATCACCGTAACCGCTCCCCTCTAGCCACTAGGGATCGACTCCGTGTGACAAGTCGTCGGCCAGAAAAGATGGGGGCATGGTGGCTGGTAGTAGGGGTGGCTATACGGTCCGGTCCGGTTAAATTGGACCAAATTGATTCGGTTCCAGTCCGATCTTTTCGGAAATATAAGGATCAAAGATTGGATTGGATACAATCCGGTCTTGATTCAGTCCGGTCTTGACCCGATCCGGTCCCAATTTGATCTTTGATTTTAGGTGTTGGGGGTCTCTTATCCGGTTTTTTACCTCAAATCTAAGCCCGAATATGAGATTGGATTGTTTGCTATCCGGTCCTAGTCCGATCCCGGTCCGGGTTATACGCAGTGGCGGATTCAGAAAATTTTCATAGGGGTGTCCTCTTAAAAATTAAATTTAATTAAATAATTCGTATATTAAAAATATCATACATGTATAAATTTTTTATTAAAATTCATGATGTGTTTTCATATTTTGAAAAAATAATATAAATAAACTTCGTGTCTACACTGTTAAAAAAAATCTACATATCCTACTAGACAATACTTCACGAACTTATCACATATTCGATTTCTAACCTTGTTCTTAATGTAGCTCGAAGTAGAAAAGACTATTTCAACACTTGCCATGTAACCATAAAATCAATTCAAAATTAAGGGTATCGTGTACGTAGTTTAATTATTAGGTATTGAAAATAGTTGGGGATAAAGAAATAGCGTTTTACTGTTGCATGATGTTTAAAATAGAATAACAAATGAGTAGCAACATAATTAGAATATGTTTGAT